TATCAAATGCCTAATGTTGATGAGTTATTGGATGGAGTCAGTCAATTAGTAACAGCAAATACAAACGGTACGTTATATTTCTCAGTATTAGACTTGAAGTATGCGTACAGCGAATTAAAATTGACTGCAGAGACAGCTAAACAATGCAACTTTAACATCATAGGCGGACAATCTACTGGAACATACAGGTTTCTTACCGGATTTTATGGCCTTGCAGACATGCCAGCAGAGTTTCAAAAAGCTATGGATAGAACTCTAAATCATGCGAAATTACGTTCTGTTTCCTTGATGACATACTCATTCTATCTAAAGGGACTGAACAAGAACATGAAAAATTGATTATGAACGTGTTGGAAAAATTAGACAGAGAAAACTTGGCATTAAAGCTGTCGAAATGTGAATTCTTTCAAAATGAGGTAAATTGGCTGGGGCACAAGTTATCGTTAGACGGTATTCCAACCAAAAATAACAAAAGCGGAAGCGATATTGAAGCTCAGTCCGCCAAAATCATTGAAACAACTCAGGTCATTTATGGGTAGCATAAACCATTTGGCCAAATTCATTCCAAACTCGGCTAATTTAACTGAAAAACTTAGACCTCTTTTGCGAGAAGAGAACGAGAAAAAGAAACTGAAAAGTGTAAAAATTCAGGTTAAAAAATTCGAATGGGGGGAAGAACATTCGGAAAAATTCGAATTGATAAAAATAGCGGTTGCGAAAATAACCAAAATCCACTATTACGACTCTAAGATGGGTAAAAGAGTAAAATGTGACGCCAGCCATAGTGGGTCAGGCGCAACGTTGGAACAACAAAAAGCCGAGGGGGAGTGGGTACCAATCGCATTTGCGTCGAGATATTTGAACATTCAAGAAAAGAAATAATCAACAAATGAGCTGGAACTGCTAGCAGTAGTATGGTCTGTTGATCGATTTAAACATTATCTGTTAGGGAAGGAATTCGTGATAGCCACAGACCATAAAGCGTTGGTTTCCGCTTTAGATGAAAATAGGTCAAACAAAACCTATCAATCTAGGCTGACTAGATGGGTAGACAGACTATTACCCTATCAATTTAAGGTTGTTCATATACCAGGAAAAGATATGGGTATAGTAGATTATTTGTCTAGAGACCCTAACGGCGAACCATGGCCAGAGTCAGTGTTGGATGAAAAAATTGTAGTCACATCGATAGAAAGCTTTCATAAAGCTCTCGACTGTTTACACATTCGATTGAGTGATCACGATGGGCTCGACCGGAACGAATATTCTGAAAATTATCAAATTGTGTCAAAACAGAACACGTCATCCAACAGTTGCTATGGCAACCAAAACGGACCAAAACGAACAGAGCACGACCGGAACGAAAGCGAAACAAGCTCGCGATTAATTAAACGAGAAAGTGGTGAAAAACCAGAAATCTGTTTATCTCAAAGTTGTTAGTCAATACAGTCGGTCGAAAAATCTAAAAGAACTCAAGGAAAGTTATCATATCGAGAGCGTCTGAAGAAGAATAAAGAAAATAAAACAGGCGAAGCATCGAACAACGGAAAGGGGAGAAAAATGGTCAGAATACAGGAACGAAATAGCATTGATACGTTGAGTGAGGAAGTCACGGAAACAACATTCCAAAGAACAAGGACGGTACAGCGCACTCCAATGTAATCAGACTCAGACAATTCAGACTCAGACGAAGTGCCACAGGTGGAATGGAGAGCAATGAACAGACAACTCCTGGCAAACACCGGAAACAGCGGTCAATCAACATCAACTGCTGTAACAGCACAACCAGCATTAGTTTCGTTTTGGGAACTCATAGGGGCGGAGAGAGATGATAAACCCAGATCAATGAAGGAGTTGGAAGCCACCTCGTTAATGCAGAGTCCAAGAACGCTATTGCAGAACACATCAAGGGATGAAGCAAGAATAGGGCAAGTAATTGTAGTGGATTTAACCGGAGATAGCATCAAGGACAGGGAATACAGTCCGGAAGTTAGTGTCGTCACACCTAAAGATACCAAGAGGGTAGGTCACAGATCTCGAAAAAACGAATATCAACTGACGGAGCAACTAAATGCGGAGAATGACCCACCATCTCTCACGAAATTATTCGACAAAAGTCTGCTTGCGGAACTAGTAACAGAAGATATTTGGATGGATCGCCTAAGGAGAGGGTGGAGCGTAATGACAGGAAAAGATTTGAACTAATGGGGCCCTACACTAATCTTCTGTGGCACCAGATGTCAGTGGTGGACGACTGTGTTCTGGTGGACAACCGATTAGCCGTACCGGACAAGCTGAGACAAGCTGTGCTTCGTCGACTTCATCAAGGACATCTCGGCCAGGAGGCAATGTTAGAGGTGTTCAACTATTATGGTGGCCACACATGCACAGAGACATAGTCAACATGGCCCAAGAGTGTAGGAGTTGCACTCGTTATGGTAAGAACGCTAAATAAATAATTCCGAAAAATTCGGCTGAACCACTTCCACTGTTGACGCAGCCGGGGCAAGAATTGCAATTAGACTATGCGGGCCCACTTGAAGACCATAAGGGGAAGAAGATATATTTATTAGTTGCTATTGATAAAATCTCTAAGTCTCGTCAGTTAAAGTCACGAAATCTACTGGGCGAAAATCAACAATAAACTTTCTTCGTACCTATATTGACACACATGGGGTACCGGAGTCGATTAAAACGGATCAGTTTTCCGGGTTTAAAGGAAAGGCGTTGCAAAAATTCTGCACAGAAAATAATATTAAACAAAAATTTTGTTCGGTTGGTGATCATCGAGGATGTGACTTGGTAGAGCGAACAATACAGACCGTTAAACGAAGATTGGGTGTTATGCTGCTCGATGAAAACGTACAATCGATTAAACTTTGCTTAAGTACAATTATTAGGGACTTAAGATGGAATAAACAGAAAACGATAAAATTGTCACCATTTGAGGCACACTTCGGTCGATTGCCCAAAACTGAATTTAAAATTTTGAGAGATAAATTCCTTATTGAGTCTGGTCGTTTAGATAAAGAACATCTGGAAAGATCTGCGTTAACAGCTTCTCAATTGAAAAGACGCATAGAACAGTCGAGGGATGACGTGAAGATCATTCGGAAAGGACAAAATAGTCGTGATGTCAGTCCACTGTTCCTACAAAATACGGCGCAGCAAAGAAACGGGCAAGAGCTAAGGAGTTGAAGCAATTACTGGAGGCCAATGCAATTACTGGAGGCTAATCATAAATTTCAAAATTCTCCGATTATAGTAGACGGAGACGGGCGGTGGCCTGAATTTAGGTGGTAAACGGAATAAACCGAACAGAGCAGGACCGTTGGTGCAGAGTCAAAAGAGTAGTTTGAGCAAATCTACAACACAAGAAACTCGTAAATTAAAAGCTGTCAAAACAGCAGCGAAGGACCCTAAAGATCGAGACATTGGCAACGCTGAGTTGACAGCGTCATCCACTCCGAAGAAAGTATCAGAGAGTAATCGCATTACTCGTCAGACGAGAGAAAAAGAAATTCTGGATACATTCCAGAACAAGGATATGACGCCAGAGAAATGGGATGACCTCGCAGAGCAGGTTTTGACCAGAGGTGTTCAAAACAAAGCTGAACAAATACTCACTCAAAAAGCGGGCTCAACCGCTATTTGTCCTCCGCCAGGTTTCTCCGATGAGTCGGACAAGGAAGAAGAACAGACAACAGTGAGGCGGAGCAATAGACAGACGAAGAATCAGGTGCCAAAGAGATATGGCAGCCCAGTGTCCCATTCTGTAAAACTGATTACTTGCAAAGACGACATTACGGATTTAAATCTGGCAGCCCTGAGGCCTACAGGACGAGATTAGCGACAATTAAAACTGGTAACAGTGAAACAACGCTAGTAAACAAGACATTTGGCCTATTAGAGCGACATTTGTTCAAACGAAGATTTTGGGCTACATCGTTGGACATTTCTAAATCATGGAATGCTGCGGAGCCGGAAAAGACAATCAAGGAGTAGAAAGTTAAACAAATTCAAACATTGATAGTAAACTGAGACTAAAACTCATATTGTATTTTTAAAATTTTATTTGGTAGTATATAAAATTTTGTTGTCCTCAGGGGAATGTGGTACTGTGTAGTACTGTTGCCACAGTAACCTTGGAGAATTATTATGATTAATAATCTGTTATGTATTGTTATTATTTATTCAAGGCCTAATGCATGCCCAATCTTGCAGGCCTAATGCAAGTGTCATTTGGACGGTTGCGAACTAAGAGAAAAGAACGATCAACATGATCTCTGAAAACAAAACACCATTGACTAAGAGTTCAAAGTAAAAGTTATAACTCTTCTGTTTTCATTATTAAACTAAGAACGAAGCATAGGATTATCTGAGGATCTCCAAAGTGAACGCCGAACCAATACCCTTAAGTGCTTAATATCTCTCAAAATGTTAAAAGATTGAAGTTTTTAAAAAGTTTGGATTATACAGATTTAATCCAGTATGGTTTGAAATAATTTTTACGAACAACTCAAACGATGCTGTCAATAAGTTTAATTGGACCAAGTTAACTCGGCTCTAAGTTAGTAATTTTCAGCCAATCAGGCGAGGGGAGGAGGAGGAGGAGGATGTTAACTTGATCCGTTTGTTTTAACAGCTTTATACTAACGTTTGAACCACTTGGGTCTGTTACACGCGAAAAACAGCTTTATACTAACGTTTGAACCACTTGGGTCTGTTACACGCGATAAACAGCTTTATACTAACGTTTGAACCACTTGGGTCTGTTACACGCGATAAACAGCTTTATACTAACGTTTGAACCACTTGGGTCTGTTACACGCGAAAAACAGCTTTATACTAACGTTTGAACCACTTGGGTCTGTTACACGCGAAAAACAGCTTTATACTAACGTTTGAACCACTTGGGTCTGTTACACGCGATAAACAGCTTTATACTAACGTTTGAACCACTTGGGTCTGTTACACGCGATAAACAGCTTTATACTAACGTTTGAACCACTTGGGTCTGTTACATGCGATAACTGCTACTCCGGTTGAAGATACAACTTCAATTCTTTCGCCTCCTGTAAACTCTTCGACGTCTAAAGCAAAAACAATTTAATTTCCGAGGTTCTAAGAAGGGTTTTCATTCAGCGTAGAAATCAGAATAAAGAAGGGGTAGGAAGGGACAGTTAGGTACAAGTATGATAGTTGGGTCCCAAAAACTAAGATGGGTCCCTGAAGAAAACTTTTTAGGCCTTCAAACCTTCGAAAGCATGGTTCGCATTTGTTTATTAGCGTTTTTGAAGTTTTCACACAGAATGCGAGACTCATCTTTCATACTTCCTCTTTTTTTGGACCCAACTATCATACTTGTACCGACAGCTACCCCTTAACTTGAAACAGGTTTTTTAAATTTATTAATTTAACTTAATCTATTTTACAAAGAAGAGGTCTGTTAATGCGGCCCAATTTTGACCTTTTCGATTTTCAAAATTTCGGACTTAAAGCTTGAATGTGATTGGTTGAATGAAGTACGCGAATACAAAAGAAATCTGAAAGTTGAAACGGAACAGCTCATTAAAAGTTTTGATTACTTTGGGCACAAAAAGACAACAACATACGCAAAAAAATATATATCTTTTGGGTTTTTTTCTGTTACACGGACCAAAACTGATGTTTTTCATATTTTGAAAGCTGAAAATAATGCTCAAATCTGATTGGTTGAAATTACCATCAGAGAAAAAACTCTGGATTCTAAAAAAAAACAGAAGCTCAATCAACACATTTTCATACTTTTGGATCGTATAACAGAAAAATCCTGTCTTCTGAACTCACATGCCAAGACTAGTGACCTGGTCCTGCCGAGGGTGGTTCCCGCGATGTTGGATGCCGAACAGTAGTACTTGCCAACATCCTTTGCCGTTGGGTTGTTGATCGATAGCAGACCCCCAGCTATAGCAATGTGTTTATTCTCCGGACTACTGACCTGAATCTCCTCTCCGTTTTTGAACCAACTGCACAACGAAAATCGATGATTCCCATATTTTCAAAGATCCCCACGTTCCCAAACTTGAAAATAAAAAATCACTCGCACAAGTCCCTAAATTATTGCTCTTGAGTTCTGATTGACTAAATTTTGAGCTAATGGTTGGAATTTTTTTGTATTGTTCAAACAGCATAAAACCAAGCGGCCGAATAGTCACCGCCGCAGTTGCGCCTACACGTTGCGAACTTGCCAGCAAATGGCATGACTTCCAAAAATTAGAGCCGGTTTTCGCGCGAACCGGCGAATTTAAGCAGAAAGCATGTCAAAGTAGTACATGACCTATTGAAAAAATTTGGGACTTACGCAACTGCTTTTTTTGAGATCTATGAATGAACTAATGATTTTACTTATTTTGCCCAAATTATTTCAAAAGCGCATCTTAATTGAACGAGTTGAACCTTTATGCTTCAGCAACGCATTTAACTCCAACCAATCAAATTTTATCATTGCAATCTCAACTTCTTTGTTTTACTTTCTCAAGAATGGGAGGAAAATTTTAAAGGAACCCAAAAGTTTCAGTTTTATCATGCGTTTTGCATAAAACGAAGTAAAATGCCGATTTCCAAAAGAAGATGCTTCGCCATTGTCATAAATAAGAAATATCTGGCAATTCGTAGTAGGCGTCAGTTCGGGAATTTTGGTTTACCTCTAATACTGGGGGGTTGGGGGTTAATCTAGTTTTACATCTAGCAGCAACTTTTCACCCATTACTATTTTTCGGCTATTACGATTCATCGTCTGTCGCGAATTGGCACCTCACTTCGCTTCATGCGAAATGCATGAAATTGATTTTTTTTGGGTTAATTTATTTTGTTCCTCCCATGTTCAGAAAATTAAATAATTAAACGTGGTATTACAATGATTAAACTTGATTGGTTGAAGTTAATTGCGTTGCTAAAATATGGGGAGGGTTCTCATGCTTGAAGAACCGAATGCTTGAAAAATTTCAACCAATCAAAATCTCTAAGCGTTTCTATTGGCTAATTGCCTTTCTCACAAAATCGAAGTCAATAATAACAGAAAATGTATTAAATCAGTGGAAAATAATCAAAAAAATTATAAATTGCGGGTTACAACCCCAAAACTATTCAGATAATCATCAAGATTAATGAGGTCAAATCATAAGACTTTTTCAGTCTTGAAAACTCATCTGCTTATTATCTAATCGGTCAATATTAACACTAATGGATGGCCTGGATTTATTTTCTTACTTTGGGATTTTCGCGATTTATTTTGAAATTTTGAATACTCAATTCTGATTGGCTGAAAGTAAGGTAAAATTAATTTCAAGCATTCGGTCCTTCAAGCATGAGGGACGCCACCCTAAAATATAAAAGGTTCAGCTCGAAACATGAAAACGTGAGATGACAAGGATCGATTCTGATTGATACTAGTTAAGTGTGTAATTGGAACATAAATGGATCAACTCGATCAATGAGTAAATGATACAATCTGTCATTGAAATATTTCGGAGACAAAATAAAGTTTTTCCAGGTGATAAGTATCCCAACAGGATTCTTGTAGGATGTAACAATTCGACTATTGCAATGCTACAAGTCGACTAATGTTATACTCAAAGCATAAGCATAATTCACAAAATCTTCCGTAGTCGACAGAGGATGGTTATCTAGCACGATCTTGCAAATGATCATTATCTTGCAAGATCTTGCGAGATACTGTTTATCTTGCAAGATTATTGCAAGCCGATGGCTATTTTGCAAGAAATTTGCAAGATAACTATCATGAAGAAATTGCAAAACGAATAGCTTCGACAGCGGAAAACATCCATGCGTCAAATCTATTTTGTTTTCTTTTATTTTCTTTTTTTTTTCTTTTATTTCTGAATTTTATTTTCTTTAGAATCTTTTGTACCGTTACTTTCGGTACAAAAGTTGGAACAACAAGACCACTCGTATATCAGGGCAACGCGTTGAATGTTCAGACTGCCTCTTAATCCTTATCGAATAGTTTTTTAGGAAAATAAAATTTTGACTAGTAGCCAAAGCGGAACTGGTTACTAACTTTTCACTCCAGAAAATTTTCTTTTTGAAAACATCTGTTTTGTTTTTATTCGAAAAAAATTCAGATCAAGTCGAGAACAACAGAAATTTCAAAGCGATGAAAAATTTTAAATGCGTATTACTCATTATTTTGTTTGTTGATTGAAACCCACTCAACGAAAGAACAAAAATCTTTTTTTTGCGTAACTTTTACGCGTTTTGCATATAACCCATACCGACAATTTCTTATATCGCGTTGTTCTTAAGGATTAAGGGCATATTTTTGAAATGAATAAAAAAAAATTTAAAGTTTTTTCGAGAAAATAAAGTAGATTGTTATCGTCGAAGTTGTACTGAATTTTTATTTTCTTGAAGCGTCCAAAAGACTTACCGGAAGTTATTTATTTATAAGTTAGTTATTAAAAGCTTCACTAAGGTATGATTTACTTGCCAAAAATTTTACTTAAAATTTGTTTCATTTAAAGCTTCAGAATTTTTTTATTTAAGCCATTAAGTTGTTTTATTCACACAATAATTCCTAAAAAAAAGTTGCATTGAATACAGTAACGTTCATTGACTGCGTAATTGGAGTAACAAAATGAACAAGATTACACCTTGTTTATTGACCTTTTATCGAAATATTTTTGCCATTTTTCATTGCAGCTCCGAATTATTTAAAAAAGGTTTATCACGCAATCTGGTTTTAAGATGCACCGAGCGCTCCAAAAATAACACACTTGAATCAAATTTAATCCCTTTTCATCGATTGGCGGAAATTTGATCTCAATTCACCCGCCTGTAGAAAGCGACGGAATCGAAGTCCTGCCTGGCGGCACACATAAAATTGGCAAAGTGGATGGGGTCTTTGTTGTCCCTGTCGAAGTACCAGTTGCCCGGCTCTTTGTAGAGGGTGGGTCCTATGTACACGTCATCCATGTCATTCGTCAAATCCTTCACATAGTCCCATTCACTCATCATGCAGCGGGTCCGGTCTTGACACCGACTGTTCAGGAACACGTCGTCTAAACAACCACAAGTTAATAACAAGACTGAGAAGCTCTGAATGTTCCGACTGCACTTTAAGACCGATTAGAGAGTTTTTTGTTTGAAAAATTGACGAAATGATTTTAAGAAAAAAGACAAGTTTTTTTTTTGTTTTTTTTCAATGTGTGAACTAAAAAAGGATGTAATTAGCAACTGTCCTAATAATAAAACCAAATGACTTGATTTATACAATTTTGGAACGCATTAATCCGCTGCTTTTGCGTGTTACATGATCGCAATATAACGCGCGTGAGTTATCCCAATATGAGCAAGTTAGCAAGTTTCAAACCACCATAACTATGAAAAAATTGACCACAGGTTTTTTTTGCGTTAGAGTTCCAAGTGAACACACTTTTCAGATGAAAACATAAAACTTTGTCAAATGTGCTTAGTTAAAGAGTCGAAAAAATGACTGGATAAAAAAACGGACACAAGCGCACAAGACAGTTTCCTTGGAAAGTCAGAACAAACATATTTTTGGGCGTTTGTTTTATTACAAAAGAGTTTTGTTCAGTTGTTCTGACTTTCGAACAAAGTGACGGAAAATTTGTGCTCGGGGTGGTTTTTTCCATACAAATTTCGACGTTTTAGTCGTCAAATTTTCACGGAGTTTTTTAGACAGAAGCAAAGCGTCGCATCACTTGCGATAAAACAAAATCATCGTAGTATTGCAAGGTCCAGTGAGGTGGAAATAACTAAAACAGAAAAAAACGAAAAAACTGAAATACGAAAAAACTGATCTCGAAAAAGATCCGAGAAGTACAACCACAAGCCCTAAAAAAAAACTTTTAGCTTACCGAGCGTTTTTTTAGCCAACCACACGTGGTTGCACATCTATTGATCCGATAACAAAAAATGCCAAAGAAAACTTTTGTTCTACATTTTTTCACAATTTTTCAAAAATTCAATCTTTAAAAAGATTCAATTTTAACAAAATAATCTATTTTGAAACATTCTATCTCAGACAAAAAGATTCGGAACACAAGCACTAGCATTAATCAAACTTTTAGTATTTTTCGAGCAATCACTAAGCCGACAACACATGGTTAGACGAAAAATGATCCAAAAACAAAAAATGACGAGATATTATTGTCATAAAAAACAATCTTTTAACAATTATGAAAAATTCAATGTGAGAAAAACAACCACTAGCTTTAAACAAGTTTTCAGTATTTTCCCAGTGTATATAAGCTGTGACATTTGGTATAACAAAAAATGATCCAAAAACAAATGTCGAAGGAAATTGTTGTCATTCAGCGATTAAATTGTTTGAAATTATAACTTTCATGCTATAAACGACCTTATTTTCTTTAAAAAAAGAATAATCAATTTTGAGCCTTAAACCGATGCAAAATATGTTCACTAAATTGGCAAAACATGAGCCGAAACAATGCGATTTCAGAAACTGGGTCCTACCGGAACTCAAAACTCAGACCATAGGGTGCAAAGGCAACCGCATTATCTCCTGGCAAAATGAGGAGGGCGTCAAAAATGCTAAGAATTATTGGTAAAGCACCATCAATCTCAAATAAAAATATGTTAAAAAGATTGTTTAGGGGAAAAAATTTAGTTCCCGGTTCCAAAACATTTGCTTTCGCAAGTGTAAATATCATTCGAAGGTTATTGGGTGATAAATTACAAAAGGTGGTAGGTTAAATTTCAATAGCTGGATCGCTTTCTGTACGACGTCGTACATTACTTAAAAAAAATTTCATAAGCCAAAGTTTATGGCAAAAAAGGAAGAAATTGAATTTTTGAATAGCATCTTATTTGGCAGAGTAAAGTATTTACAAAAACTACCTGAGTAGTAGTACAATTGATTGAAAATGAAATGACTACATTGAGCATTAGAGTTCTCAAAATTAATGCATGCACTATACTCAAAATTATCACCTTTTGTAATATATCACCGATTATTGTTTTTGTCCTGAGCCCGAACTTCATAGAATATATTTTTTTTGCATTGATTGTTTTTCATCTTAAAAACTAAGCGAAAAAAGCCACGAACAGTTCTCGGATTGCGCGGAAAAGTTCAGATTACTGCTGATAAAGAATAATCTTGTAAGCAGAAACATTTTTTGTTAAAAAAATAACTTTGCCATAAAGGAATTTAATTTGTACTCACCGAATATATTTTGAAAATCGTTTTTGACATCTTGGGTGAACTGAGTCTTCACCAAAGTAAAAAGAAGAAAGGACAAAAAAATTCCAAGCACGGACGCCAATTTAAAATTCATGGCTGAAATTTTTTTGAAGTTATCTTTATCTTTGCTTGCCCAAAATGTGAGCAAAAGTAGCTAAGTTTTTTCGTTTCAAATATTTAGGCCATGTATTGATAAAGCAAGCCAATAAAAATGACCGATTGAACAAAAAGTATGAAAAGATTTTTACTAAAATATAGCCTCGGTCACGCGACTTGCATTATTTGGATTGGCCAAAACACGTCGCGTTTGATCACGCCTATATGACTAGTTTCAATCTTTTCTATAACCAAGCTATATACTATTCAACAGTATGAAGACAGTTGCTTAATGGTAAAATTGACAAAACAATCGTATCTTACCTTGCTGCTTATGCATACATTTTCGATTAGATCAAATATCGGGGCGAGGTCCGCGACTTGAGATAAAACCGCCGCCGCTGCGTGATAAAACTACGGCCGCGACTTAAAAAACCGTCGCAATTGGCGTAATTTGACAATTGGCGTGACGTGAACAATATTAATAGTCAATTTTATAACTGCGCAACCAATTCTTGCCAATTCACGACCGGGACAACATAAAAAATTTAGAACCCTTTTGTTGTCTCGGATAAAGTTAATAAATTCAACTTAAACAGTCAATTCGCCATAATTAGTTAGGAAAGGAAAAACTCTACACCATAATTCACAATAGGCGTAGCTCAAAACGCTACTCCAATAATGATGTTTAAAAATTGCTTGTAACGATTCAAATATCTATGTTACTAACTGGTTCCTTGTGTCAGTTATATGAGTAAACTCCTGGAATGGTGGCACTCAGGGGCGGATCTAGGATTTTCTCGAGGGGAGGGTGGATTTTCAAAAAAATTCAAAAATTTTGTCATCTTTTTTTAGGTTCACCTAATCAAATTGATTTTCCGAGCTCTCCCAGAGCACTAAAAAGACCCTGTTTTGGCCAAATTTTCTGTGCCGCAGGCAAGTTTTGAAAAAACAGGCCAAAAAGGCGTTTTTAGGCTCTTTTTGGAAAATTTTGACTAATAAGTTTTGTTTTTTTGGCGCGCGCTCCCCCTAAAATTTAGTTTATTGGCGCCGAAGGCGCCATTAGAAACATTTTAGGGTCAGTCAGCCAAAAATGGATATCTCAAAATAGTACAAAGGGGTCGGCAGGGGGTCGAATCCCTGAGGTAGGGGGGGGGGGGGGGGGGTTGTCCGCATCCCCTCCCAAATCCGCTGGTGGTGGCATTGAAATAGACTTGAATGCTTTATATGATTGCGCCATTCACGCTCGCTCTGTAGCTTAACTGTCGACCACATTAAATAATTACATTTTTGCACTGGTAATGAAACATTTGGAATAATGAATTGTGATAATGATGGGAGCGGTGGCTTTGTTAGGAAAAGTAGTGATGATAGGAGCTTGATCAAAATTGACTGAGAATTGGATAAACATGAATGTGTTTAAAAGACACTTGCCTAGAAAAATTTTCGACGGCCAAAAAAACTTTTGCATACAGAACGCAAATCAGAATGCTATAAGCTTAAGAATGGAAAACGAACAGCTCCAAAAATATTCAAGAATCCGCACTGGGAACTCCAAATACAGGAACTGCTTTTCTACAAAATTTAACTGATGAAATGGATTGGCCATATTAGAGACCAAAAACGCTTGGTTTTTATTCAGCATATTTTATACAGTCTTTCTTCACAAAACCTGTATTGTTTTCGAGGTTCAGGTTCGAACTTGAGGAACGCAGGCGGTAGTCAACTGACTTCTCTGTAGCTGATAATCCAATAGCAAAAACCGTCATTCAATGCACGTCCCAAAAAAAGGATCCCAACTGGATTATCTCAACAAAAATTTGGTCAAAATTCTTGAAAAATTGAATACATACCTAGCAGCCCAAATCACACATTGTGTACTAACCGATTAATTTTTATTCGAATTGGAAAAAAACCATCGCCTTTTTTGACTCTACCAAAAAGATTTCACGAAAAAATTGATCTAACCTTTGTTCATTTATGCCTTTTTGGTGAGTAAAATCTAAGTTTTTACGTGCAGACTCTTCCATTTAAAGTTTTGCACAAAAAGTGAAGATTCGTTGCTCGATTGTAAGCTTCATCGTTCTTACAAGTGAGAAGTTTGAACAACTTAATGCATTTTGATGCATCATGAGAAAATTGAATTAAAAACAAACTTGTGAAAAATGGTCTCAGTGCTGAGCAAAAGCAAAAACAAGTCAATTTTTTTTCGATTGCCAATTTCAATAATTGTCATTTTCCTTCTAAATTTTCAAAACCGTCTGTTTTAAAAAGACATCATGTGTTTTGGATTTCGCTCTCTTACGGGCTGATCATTGCAACTCAACCAGGTTTGAGCAGGGGCGGATTTTGAAGAGAGCGCGCCAAAAAAAAATTAATTTTTTGCTCGAAATTTTTCAAAAAGTGACCAAAAACGGCTTTTGTTGACCTGTTTTTACAAAAAAAATTTTGCGGTGCTAAATTTTTTGTAAAAATGACTTCCTGACGAATGAAACTGGGAGTCTTCAGAAAATCACTTTGGTCGACACAAGTAGTAGGTCGACAAAATTTTCGAAAATTTTTTGAAAGGTAAGAGAGCTTCCGAACAATTGTATGATCAAAAGCTACCCGGGTCAAAGTGCTCAATTTATGTTTCAATCATCTCGACCAAAAATTGGTATGTCTCGACCGTCTCGACCAAATTTTGGTATTTTTCAACTGCGCTCGACCAAAGCAAATGTGCTTGACCGTGCTCGACCCAAGCAAATGTGCTTGACCGTGCTCGACCCAAGCAAGATATGTTTCGATCGTGCTCGACCGACAAAATGTGCTCGACCCAAGAAAAAAATGTTTTCGACCATGCTCGAGATTTAAAAAATGTGCTCGAACGTGCTCGACCCAAGCAAAATAATTTTTTGTTGTCTTGACCACGAAAAGTGCCCAGAATAAGCAAAAAAGTTTTCGACCGTGCTCTGTACTAAAAAATGTGCTAGAATGCGCTCGACCCAAACAAGATAATTTGCTACTGTCTCTACCTCTAGAATTATGTTCGGCCGTGCTCGCCCCAGGCAAGATATTTTTTGAATGTCTCGACCATAAATGTGTTCGACCAATTTCAAGTGCTCGAGGAACACGAAGAGAATTTTCAGGTGATCGAGCGGGTTGTACTCGAGTCAAAGTTCAACCGAAACGGTCAATCAATGACCATTTTCGAGCGTTTGAGTCAATTTTTTTTCCAATTTCAGCTTTGTACGTAAGTATGTTTGTATATCTTCATGTATTTTTTTAGTATGTCTAAGAATCGTTTAGTTTGTAGTTAAGAACCGTTATTGTTTCACCGTCGCCTGAAACCTAATTTTACAAAAAAAATAGTAGATTGCGTTGTTTAATTACTTTTCTGTTCCACCGAATTTTTCGCAAACTAACATGGATAGACTTATTTTGTTTAGGACAAAAAGCAACATTCGTAGACAGCAATGGCTGGGTTTTAGCGAACTGAAGGGACGAATAATGAAGAACACAGATATCACCAATTCTGGCTGTGACCATTCTATCTGCAATTTAAACCGTGCGAGCCATTTTGGAAAAAAATTAAAACCTCAAGAGCTAAATAAATAAGATATCAGACAGTTGGAAAAGAATCGATGCACGCAAGAAAATAAAAAAAAAACGGCATTGTTTTTTTTTCTATAAAAAAACTCAATTTTCAAATTTTAAAGAAAAAAAAAGTCTCAAGCTCTTTGATTTTTTACAACAACTTATAAATTACAAATTTTGATAAAATTATCTAATTTGAGAAAACTGGATCAAACGGTTAAATTTTCGTTTCGCTGGAAAATCTGAAACTAAATTCAGTTTTCGAAATTAAGAGTCAATCACATTTTTTGTGACCTTTATATTTTCTATCGGTTAGTAAATCACTTTTCAAACACGCTACTTAACTAAAAAAAAAACTATACAACTTGCAATGGGTTTTTGGTGGAGTCAATCAATTCGCAGAAAAGTTTGGATAACGCTATTATATCATTGAAAAATTTCACGTTAATTCCACTGATTTCAAAAAAAAGTTTTTTTTTCGGCGTCAGCTATTGGAGCGATTAAATTTGCAATTTCAACTCCAAGCGATTAAAAGTTAGAAAATTTCAATCGAAATAAAATTTATTAAATTTGAGGCTTTGATCCCTATTTAGCCCAAACTTTCTGCATCACGCGCAAATTTAAAAAAGGGTTAAAATTTATATTTTTGGGCAGTCTGACTAAAAACTGTTTTTTTTTGCGCGCTCCCCTTCAAGTTTAGGACAATTTGGCGCCAAAGACGCCTTTAGAAAAAGTTTAGGTTTCGTCGCCAAAAAACGGGGATACGCACTTCCCCGGAAATCCGTCCCTGACATAATTTTTCTTAAATTTTCTCTGAATAACCGGTTCTTGAAATCTTTGTAATAGAAAGAATTTAATATATGTATTTTTCAATGATTTGCAGTGATGAGTTGAGAGAAATAATGACACATGATTATTTGCATTACAAACCAAGCTTCACCGCGCATGTTTCCTCTGCGCACAAACACATGCACACTCTGAGGCGCTCACACTGTTGTTCGACTTTGCTCGAAATCATTGTTCGACTTAATTGATCGTTATCTGATTCCGCTAAACGTCCGATTTCACTTGATAACTGTTTCAAAAATGATTATCCTGAAGCCGAAAATTACAGACCATAATTTGAAAAAAAAATATCATTTTACTTTTTGTGGGGACTTGAGGTTCTTACTTCAAATTCGGAATTTTGCAATATGTTCTCTTTTTTTGAGCTCCCAGTACTATCGACAAATGAACAATCTGCGTCATCAGATAGCTTTGGTCTAATTTCGAATTTGAACAAAAAATATTTTCCCACTTCAAAACAGGAAAAATCGAACAAAAAAAATCTTTTTTATTTGGAAGCAAAGAATATAAAACAAAAAATAACACTCTGAACATAAAATAGCTATAAAGCACCGTAAAACAAAAAAAAACATCAACAAAAATTTTTGCTGCGCAACAAAATTTTCAGTTCAAATCAAGTTTTTCATAGAATTTCGCTGAGTTTGGAAAGTACTGATCTTCTGAGTTGCCAATAATACTGTAAATTTCTTCCCAGCAGTTCGGCATACTGCCCTTTGCCAAAATTGGCGAGTTCATCAATTCCAAAATAAGAGGTACATGGCACAGTATAACGAGATGTGTCTTGGCTCTGGAAATTGCCACGTTTAACCGGTGCGGATTAGAAAAGAAATCTTGGTCTTCGCTTGACCAATCAGATTGGAGTTTAATATTGGAGCTTAGTTTCGTTCTAGTCGTACATAGAATGATGATGTCGCATTCCCCTCCCTGAAAGGCATCCACAGTGCTTGTTTTTGGGACACAGCGAGACGGTTCTTGATCTAAGTGAGCCAATTTTGCCACCATTTTTTCATCAATCAAGTTAGCTTGCGCTTTATAAAAACATATCACTCCTATTTTTTCAGGAGGTATGTTTTGATGAGTCACCAAACTGACAATGAAATCAACACAGAGATTAGCTTCTTGTTCATTAGTTAGACTTTTATTGTTTGAGCTGTTTTGTTCTTGTTTTCCATTGTTTACATTCACCATACAAACAGGCGGCAGCAACCTTTTGGTTTGAGACGAACCATGCCTTTTATATGCGATCAATGGCGCACGGTGGGAAGCTTCGATTCCATTCACAAGCATGTTGTTGTAGAATATCTTGCCGCATATATTGGCTATTTCCGGATGGCATCTGTATTGCGTGTTTAACAGCACAGGATTGACTCCGTTTAGCTGCAGACGGTTGAAAAGAGTTGTATCGGCTGGAGCTGTCACGTGACTTGGGTTTGGACCTGCAGATGATACTTTGGAGACAGATGAGAAAGAGGAAGTGGGAACATCGGGTACAACAGGTGGTAGCTGCTTCGGATCTCCCACGAGTAGGAGTCGCCAGGGTTTGAATCTACGTAAATCAAAAATTCTTTTTAAATATTCAAATTTGCGATAATTTCGACAGGACATTTCATAATATTTTAATTGAGCTAAGAAGCACTATGTTATTCATCATTCGAAACTACTGGGTATAACTTACTTTATAAATGCCTGTTTTTCAAAGGAGTGGTATCATGATTTCAAAAACATCAAGAACCTTTTTCAGATCAGCCATATCAATTTTCCCAGCATAATGACCAAGTTATGCAAACACTTTCTTCTACAAAGCAGTATACTTTGGTTAAACTCTTACATAACCAAAGACTACTATGGCATCGGGTGGGTGCGCGATATTTTTATAACGAAACATTTTCTGACCAACCTGGCGATGGCTAAATGGGAGGCACATTCTGTGATCTGAGCAGCCTCGTCTAGAATGAGAAGAGTGGGTTTGTAACTATCGAGGTGAGCCGAGAGACACGAGGCAGTCGTCACTCCCACCACTCTGGCCGACTGCACACGACTGCTTCTCTGAGAATTCTTCTCGCTCAGTCGCAGCTTCAACAGCTCCTCTCGGTCGCATCTGAACAGGGACAAAAACTCCGATTCATTTCAACAACTTTAATTGTTGTTCCGATTACCACTTTTCAGACAAATTAAATGAGGTAAGCTTTTTTCACTCAATTTTTGTTACACTTCGGCTTAACTGAAAAATTCACAATATTTCAGTCAATTTGATTTTTTCTTATTGATAGTTGAAATTGATGGTTCATTCTAACTTGAAAATTATAAAACGACTCCTGATTTACTTCGAACAAATTACATTCAAATAGTTGTATACTTATAACCCTACTTTTTCAGTTCCTTGTCTTTGAGACGAATCGCCAGTTGTTTCAAATTATCCGTCTCAAGGTCATGATGCAGGGAGTATCTCAACATAGGCATCGATATCTTCTGCACGTTTCCAATCCTCAACAAACTGCCGCTCAAAATCTCATTCAACCTTTTTTCAACTTCCTCTTCAGAAATGTTTTCAGCATTTTCCTCAAGTAATTCACACTTTGCAGAATGTTTCACAATTTCGATATATTTCCCCAGAACGTTGTCAACAGCTACATTTGTTCCACTGCAAACCATTATCGAAAAGTTTTCGCTGTCCTCAAAAGCACACTGATTGGCTAAATTTACAAGAAAATGAATGAAAACAGCTAATAAAAAAGATTTTCCGGATCCAAACACTCCATGTATTAACATTGTAACTTCATTGCTATTTTCAGAGCATATTGAATAGCATATATTGTTCAAAGCTGTTTTCTGCTGGTCATTAAGGTTGAAAACTTGCTCGAACTCATCTGCCAGAGAAAGTACCATTTCACAGAATTCCGGCTTCACAATAACTGCACTTCTCTTACGGCTGCTTAATGAATGGTCATTTGAGTTACTTTGATGATTACGAACATCACATAGAGATTCAAACACTGGATTTGTACATACTCCCACCAAATCCGCCAAATTTGCAGAAATACAATCGAGACAATCTAAGTCATTAACACTCGATGCAATTCTTACCATATTAACCTCTTTATTTGTTCGAATGAAGAACTTCAAATCAAATTTCTCAGGGCAACTCAAAAGTTGCAGATGTAAATGCCCATTCCACAATGGCCATGGCATTATGGAGCGAGCCATGAACTCACTGCTGTGTTCTTTGGGAATTATGATCCATATATCGTTGCGACTGAACGAACTGAAAAGGCTCTTATTTGGTGGTATTTGAACATAAAACGACTCTTCGTACGTTTTATGCTTTATTTTGCTCAGGATCTTGTCATGTTGCTTTGAAGAAAAGCTCATTTGAGCGTCCTTTAAGACCAGAAAATTCGACTTCAAACATATGGATTCAATATTTAGAATGGTCTTATTTCTGTTATCAGTCCAGAAGCCGATAAAACTATCGTAAGCGGGCATTATAGACAACATACAAAATATGCGAGCCTGTTGCAACAGATGATTTCTATATGCTTCAAACGTAAATTGAACCCCAGATGGTATTTTATAAAGTGATTTTAATTGTTCATGCGTTTTATCTAGGCTCAAATTTAACAAGTTCCGAATCGTTTTAGTCTGAAACGGATCTGCGCATTGACTTTTTCTATTTGACTTTGATTTTTCACTTTTAGATTTCATCAATGGAGTTTTGAAAAGAGAATTAGTGGCAGAGAGAATTTTTCTTCCGTCTTTTCGCACCGACTTTGGAACAGATGCATAAGTTGTTTCGTTTGCCAGTTCGTACTGATCGTTCTTAATTGAATCCGAATCAATTGACCTTTCATAGGGTGTCATATTTCCATCTGAGATCAAATCAGTTATAGTTTCTCTCGAAGCTCCGATCGGCTTAGATGCACAAGACTGCGCAGTTTCTCTGTGGCCTTGACATGTTGCAAGAGAAGATTCCCAAGAATTTCTAGGCTCCATTTGGACTGAATTAGTAGTTGTGTTTTCTTGCACATCAGGATTTTTGCTGGGAGTTTCATTTTGGGTATCGAATGGAAGATAATGTGAATCTGACAAAAAAGACACGTCCATATAATCTCGTTCGCATACCTTGCTATTATTATCGTCAATATTACTTGCATTTACAGAACTATTTTCAAAGTTACCATTTACACCCCGATTTTTTTCAATACCGTTCTTTTCTGAATTAATTTGATGACCCTGAACTTCATTAAAATCACTCTGCTCAACAAATTCGAATGCATCAAAAATAGCGAAATCAGTTTTTCTCTGTTTACTTGATTTGATTTTTTGATCGCATGCGATTTCTTGTTGTTGATAAGTAGCTTCATTTATTGGGATATGCTCGTCAATTATGGTCAAAAATTTCGGGTCATTGTGGTGTGCTTCCTTATGTGACGAGGGCTTGGAAGAGATAAAACTGTTCACAACGTCAATGACTTTGTCGGACCCCGAAACAACGATTTCATCTTCCTTGTTACTCGGACGATGACCTTCGATTACATCATCCAAGAAATGACCTTTCCGTTTTTTGCTTTTCCTCCTTTTCTTTTTCAGCAATTGTTCTTTTTCATCAAAGTCCTCAACCCAGTTCGTATCGCCAAATTTATTCGTATCGTGAAACGCTTGCGCTGAAGAAAAACCTCCTAAAACGCCGCACAAGATTTTATTTTTCTCATCAAGAGCCTCGCGTACTTCTTTTTTAGTTGCATATTTTATCTTCGATTCAGTGTCTTCTTCGTCTCGGAAACGGTTAGAAGATTCAGAGTCGTCAAAAAACTTCTTCCGCCGTTCAAAAGCTGGTTTTTTGAAGTCGGTATATGACAGTTTAGGTGGCACTGGAACCTCGACATTTGGACTAAACTCATGACTAACAAGCGAATCCTCGCTAATTAAAAGATTGCAACCCAAAATGTTCTTTGCAGCATTTATTGTCGTCGAACGATGCAACGAAGTTTCTTTGGAAGGTTCTCCACTGAATAAACTAAGAACTGATTCTGAATCAAGTACATCTTCGCTTCCACCAAGTTCGGCAGAATTAGAAATCGATGTCTGAAGTAACTTCGAAACACCTGCAGGTATTTGATTGGAAGACGTTTCATTGCATGGCTGCGGCGCTTTGAAGTTTTTCTTTTGGGCTGAACCGCCTAATATTTCCTTTCTAGTTTTGATCACATCTTCTGAATTCACAACTTGCGCAGAGCACCCAAAAAGCCGATCGTTATATGTCTTCTTTTTTGGAACACTTGCTATATCATCATCTTCAAGGCCGAAAAACGAATCGTCTTTTAATTCTATGCCATTTTCTGTTCTTAACGGTGCTTCTGTTATACTTGCAGATTTCCTCGAAGTCTCAATATTGGTTTCGGCAGAGCGAGTTTCTGTCTCGGGTGTGATTGAATTCGGTTTCATGAAAGGTGTTTTGAAACTGTTCCGTTTACGTGAACAAGAAGCCAGCAACTCTTTTCTCTTTTTGTCCACATCTTTACAAGATGATATTTTAGCAGGGCAGCCTAGTAAACGTTCAGCGTAGGTAGTCCGTTTCTCTTCATTTCTACTATATTTTTTGTTTATATACGCTCGCTGACCTTGAAATTCGTTATCTTCTTTTTGTTCCCTAATTAGCAAACTTTGTCCGCCCATGTTATTGGGAACTGTCGACACATGGGAACCAGAACTCTTCCCGGAATTAAGAAGTCGCCGTCTATTAGCTTTAACTGTTTCAGCATCACACATTTTCAGACAGACAATGTCTTGCCATTGCTTCAAAATACCACGCGGCTTATCGCGCATCATTTTGAGTACCTTGGAGACTTTAATGCCCTGAAAATTAAACTAAGCGCTGATTAAATTATCAACTTTTTAGCAGCTTCCAACGACAAAAATTCCAATCATGAAAACATTTGACCATTTAAAACCACCTCAACAAATAGTAAAAACAATTTAAATGAGTGCAGACTTCCAAAGACCTTGCTCAGGATTATATATTCTAAATTGCTACGTAGGATTTTAAGCAACATTTCGCATAACCTAGATCTTATAAAAAGCAATTAATGCACTAACTGACACGAAGCCTGATATCACGCTTCGCTTTCAAATCCTGTCACAAGTCGAAGTTACAGATCGCAAGGAAAAAAATCAAGAAATCTCGCAAAAAATAATAAAACATAGCCAACAGAGAGTTGGAAAAGAGTCAACGAACGCAAGGAAACAGATTAAAAAGCTGTTGTCTTTTTTTTTGAATTGGAAAGATATATGGTCGCAAAGCGCTTCAAATTTCAAGAACAATTTATGATTGAGACTTTTTTGATGAAATTAACTCAATTTGAGAAAACTGGATTAGAAAAAAGCATAAGTTCCGCCGGGTTAAGTTCCCGTTAAAAGATTGCGGGAAAATTAACTGGTCCGCCCTAATGCGAGCATTCTTTTCTGGTAGCGAACGTAAGTATCGAACCAAAGAAAGTTAACACATTTGATCTCAAAGTTGCGGCCTAATTTGGGCTCGAAACTGAACGAAGTTTTATGAGAGTCTCGAAACTGAAAGAAATTTTTTGATATTTAAAACAATCTTAACAAAGACTCATTGAGCTTAAGCAAGCTCGAAACTGAGAGAACTTTTTTGATATTTAAAACTATTTTAACAAAGACTCATGGAGCTTAAACAGGCTCAAAACTGAGAGAACTTTTTTGATATTTAAAACAATCTTAACAAAGACTCATGGAGCTTAAACAAGCTCGAAACTGAGAGAACTTTTTTGATATTTAAAACTAGTTTAACAAAGAATCATGGAGCTTAAACAGGCTCAAAACTGAGAGAACTTTTTTGATATTTAAAACTATTTTAGCAAAGACTCATGGAGCTTAAACAAGCTCGAAACTGAGAGAACTTTTTTGATATTTAAAACAATCTTAACAAAGACTCATGGAGCTTAAACAAGCTCGAAACTGAGAGAACTTTTTTGATATTTAAAACTATTTTAACAAAGACTCATAGAGCTTAAACAGGCTCAAAACTGAGAGAATTTTTTTGATATTTAAAACTATTTTAACAAAGACTCATGGAGCTTAAACAGGCTCAAAACTGAGAGAACTTTTTGATATTTAAAACTATTTTAACAAAGACTCATGGAGTTTAAACAGGCTCAAAACTGAGAGAACTTTTTTGATATTTAAAACGATCTTAACGAAGACTCATAAAGCTTAAACAGGCTCAAAAACTGAGAGAAGTTTTTTGATATTTAAAACTACTTTAATAGACACTCATGGAGCTTAAACAGGCTCAAAACTGAGAGAACTTTTTTGATATTTAAAACAATCTTAACAAAGACTCATGGAGCTCAAACAAGCTCGAAACTGAGAGCAATTTTTTGATAATTAAAACTATTTTAACAAAGACTCAAAGAGCTTAAACAGGCTCAAAACTGAGAGAACTTTTTGTTAATTAAAACTATTTTAACAAAGACTCATGGAGCTTAAACAGGCTCAAAACTGAGAGAACTTTTTTGATATTTAAAACAATAAAAGTCTTTTTTAAAATAGTTTTAAATATCAAAAAAGTTCTCTCAGTTTCGAGCTTGTATAAGCTCCATGAGTCTTTGTTAAAACTATTTTAAAAAAGACTCATGGAGCTTAAACAGGCTCAAAACTGAGAGAACTTTTTTGATATTTAAAACAATCTTAACAAAGACTCATGGAGCTCAAACAAGCTCGAAACTGAGAGCAATTTTTTGATAATTAAAACTATTTTAACAAAGACTCAGAGCTTAAACAGGCTCAAAACGGAGAGAACTTTTTGTTATTTAAAACTATTTTAACGAAGACTCATAAAGCTTAAACAGGCTCAAAAACTGAGAGAAGTTTTTTGATATTTAAAACTAATTTATTAAAGACTCATAAGCTTAAACAGGATCAAAACGGAGAGAACTTTTTTGATATTTGAAACGATTTTAACGAAGGCTCATAAAGCTTAAACAGGCTCAAAAACTGAGAGAAGTTTTTTGATATTTAAAACTACTTTAAAAAAGACTCATAAGCTTAAACAGGATCAAAACGGAGAGAACTTTTTTGATATTTAAAATAATCTTAACAAAGACTCATGGAGCTTAAACAAGCTCGAAACTGAGAGAACTTTTTTGATATTTGAAACTATTCTAACAAAGACTCATGGAGCTTAAACAGGCTCAAAGATGAGAGAACTTTTTGATATTTAAAGCATTCTTAACAAAGACTCATGGAGCTTAAACAAGATTGAAACTGAGAGCAATTTTTTGATAATTAAAACTATTTTAACAAAGACTCATAGAGCTTTAACAGGCTCAAAACTGAGAGAACTTTTTGATGTTTAAAACTATTTTAACAAAGACTGATGGAGCTTAAACAGGCTCAAAACTGAGAGAACATTTTTGATATTTAAAACGATCTTAACGAAGACTCATAAAGCTTAAACAGGCTCAAGAACTGAGAGAAGTTTTTTGATATTTAAAACTATTTTAATAAAGACTCATAAGCTTAAACAGGATCAAAACGGAGAGAACTTTTTTGATATTTGAAACATCTTAACGAAGACTCATAAAGCTTAAACAGGCTCGAAACTGAAAGAGAAATTTTTTGATATTTTAAACTATTTTAACAAAGACTCATAGAACTTAAACAGGCTCAAAACTGAGAGAACTTTTTAGATATTTAAAACAATCTTAAGAAAAACTTCTGGAGCTTGAACATAATATCACACTAGACCCATACGAGCTTTACTTGACGTAGTCAGAATTGGCTAGAAATAATGAAGAAAAATACCCAATGCCTTAGTTTCTTCCCAGACTCCGAGAGTGAATGAAACTAGGAGCACAGCTAAAGCTGAAGGTACCTGATTGACACTTGTTCTACTGATGCAGGATGAAGTTAATTATTTCAAAATTTCAGAAGCAAGCTTAAGCAGAGAAATTTCTTAAGCAAAGGCTGCCGAAGCAAAGAAATTTCCAAAACCGGGTTTTTAAGGGCAAGCTTATGCAAACGCCGCTTAAGCAGATAAGTTTAACAACCGGATTTCTCGATTGAATACTTAACCTGAGGGTTGGCAGAGTAGTTTTCGAGAAAAGTCAAAGGTTTCAAAAACGGTAAAAAAAAATCAAAATTTGACATTTCCGAGGGCCATAAATTTTCACGTATAAAAGCAACTCGGCGTAATTGCTTATGAACAAGTGCTGTACACGACCTGTTCTTGCGATTAAACTTTAAATTTCTGATTTGAGAGAATAGTTTCCCGAGACAGCTCAAGAGGTTTCAAAAAACGGTCAATAAATCAAAAGCTTAACTTTTTCGAGGGCAATAACTTTTCGTTTAAACAAATTTGGAGGTATCCGCTTCGTCAAAGGAGCACCATATAACCCGTTTTCTCCACTGAACCCAAAACCTTGGGTTTGGGAAGGTAGTTTTCATGAAAACTCGAAAAGAATGAAAAAACGATCAGAAACTCAATAAATTGATTTTTCCGAGGACGATAAATTTTTCTTCAGTTTAGTTTTAAACGCTAATGTCAGTAGTTTCTCGAAATCTTTCCTCTCCACTCAACACAGAATCTCAAATTACGGAGGGTAGTTTTTTCGAGAAAAAACAGCCAAAAATTATTTTAAAAAAGACTTTCCGAGGACGATAACTTTTTGTGTATAGAATCCACATAACTTTTTGTGTAGAGAAAAAATCCACAAATATGGGTCGAAGATTCCACCCTCCCTCCCTCCCCACCACAGACTTTTTTCCAAGGCAGTAGAAACATGAGCTACGGTAAAAAGAGACTGGAGGAAAATGAAGCCACACATGGGAAAGGGCGATCTTTCCATTGGTACCAAATTTTTGGAAATCGAAGCAGTAGTGTTTGAGAAAAAAAACTTTTGTGAAAAGTGAAAAAATTTTCAGAAGCGTCTCAGAAAATTAATTACAGAAAAAATCAAATCCTATAAATTTTCCGAGTGCCCAATTGTATTGAAAAAACAAAAAATAAATGTACACATTGAAAAAAAATGATGGTTCAGACTGGAAAACGGAGAAATTTACACCAATTCTTTTTTAGATTTTTTAATGAATTGGAATCAAGACTGAAAAAGCTTCAGAATGATACCATTGAGACATCTCAGCTTAATTTGATACAGGTAAACATGACTGTAAAAACTTAACCTGAGCCATAACTCCTCCCCGAACCTTTGAGATGCTGGTCAAGATCGCAGAAAAATTTGACGATGACATAACAGATACGTTGATTTTGATGATGCTTTTGAGATTCGAAGCAGAAAGTATAAGTTTGAGAAGAAATTAAATTACCGGAAAAGCAGAAATTGGATGTCCTACTGTATGCCAAATACTTGGCTGAAAAAGAGAAAATGTAAACAATGTCGATCAGATTATTATTTTAACCCAGAGAAGCTGCCTCCTCAATCCAGCAAATAAAAGGAAAAAAGATCTACGAACACCAAAAAATGCAAGGAAATAGCAAGGAGCGCGGGCCGAAAATGCAAGGAGCGCGCGCCGAAAAAAAAACGCGATTTTTGGTCAAAATTTTCCAAAAAGAGCCCAAAAACGCCCTGTTTGGCCTGCTTTTTCAAAAATTTGCCTGCGACATAGAAAATATGGCCAAAACAGGGTCTTTTTAGTGCTTTGGGAGAGCTCGGAAAATCATTTTGGTCGAGTAAACTTTCGAAAAGAAATTTGAAAAAAAATGACCTGACCTTATATCATTCCACATGAAAGCTCACTAGTTTTAATATAACGTAAGACTTAATCTTTTCCGCATCATGCGTGCAAATCCATGAATCTTAGCTGACATCTTCGAAGTTAAAACAGATCATATTAATCGTAAATTATGAAAAATAAAACGTCTATCTATTACAAATGAGTTGTTATTATGATTGAGCCATAACTCACAAAAGAACAAAAAAGTCGTCATTTGGTTTTGGTGGCGTTTTTATTGGCGTTGTTATGTTGTCCCAAGTCTTTTTCGAAGGAGCGACCCAGTTGCTTTCCGAGGTCTACTCTCACGGCTGAATATCTCTCGGTTGCATCCAGGGTATTTCGAGCCTGCACTCTCGCATAACCAAGAAATCTAAATACAATCAGGTAAAAGCATGAATGATAGTTGGGTTACTGTAAAAAAAAACAAGTTGTTTTTGGCCTGTTTTTTTTCTCATATTACTTAACTTAATTTATCATCTTGCTATTAGATGCCTACTTTAGCCTATTATAAGCTTTCTCGCTCCCTTTGTTTGCTTGAAATTGGACTAAAAATCAAAATTTCAAACCAGTTTTTCTCAACACAGAGGTTTTTTTTGATATGGTCCGAATCACGACTGCAAAAACTGAAATATGATATATCACACAATGCACTCCGATGATTGTTTTTGGCACCTGATTTTGCGAGGAAAACAAAAAACAGAAACACTCAAATACTAAGTTCCTCCCCGCTTTCAGGTTCAAAAACTATGCTACGCTTAGATCGAATAAAATATCTTCTTGAAACCAACAATTTAGGACTAAACTTCTGGCCAGAGTTTAATTCAGAGAAAAAAATAGATGCCCTTCCAGGTCTTTGAATTTCTAGGCAGATTTATGATTGGCGATTTTTTGATAACATTTACCCACTTTGAGAAAACTGGATCAACAGTTGTTTTTATTCCACTCGAAATCTAAAAATTAAATTCCACTTTCGAAACTAGAAATCGTTCACGTTTTTTTTTGCGCCATTTCCACGTTCGTATTTAGAGAGTGCTATTTACGTCACTTTCAGCAAATGATTTTGAATTGAACTCATAAATGGATATCAGAAAAAGAAAAATTCAATTTTGCTCAATTAAAAATATAAAACTTGACATAGCGAGTCTTCAAACTACATGCTTTTACATGGGCAAGCTAATCGACACACATGCTAATCGGCTGGTTGTCGTGTTATGCGACGACTCACTTGAGAGCTGGAGTGAAGTTGAGTAGGTAGAATAGGGTGCATGGTATAGCAGCATAAGTGCACATTTTAGCCACCTCGAAATGCCATCTTTGCAGTTTGAAAGGACCCATTTACTAAACTGAAGACTTCGATTCAATTTATTAGGCGCATGGATATTAAGGCAGTCAATTACTTTAACAAATAGCTGCCCAAACAACAATCTGAAAGTAAAAAATCAATTTAGCACAAAACAGAAAACCACAGAAGCTACGGATAAATTCAGTGGAATTGCTAAAAAGACAAAAATGTCTAAGACTAAATTTAATTAACTGAAATATAAGCAAAAAATAGAATGAATATTGGCATCAGATATAAAAAAATTTCAATTTCAATTAATTAAAACAAAGTGAGTTCTCAAAGATGTGGGAATGTTGGAATGCGAATTATTGATGCCTTGCTGCTGAGAAAACATGTTGCTGGGCAAAGTTATAACTCCAAAATCTGACTAGATAATTTTGTCGTAGAATTTATGGATAATTTTTACACCGAGGCAAAGCTGTGCTTCGCAAACACTTGCAGGAACACGACCAAAAACCAGCTCTATCAAGTAAAATAAGAAAAGTAGAAATAAGCCTCGAAGTAGCGAAAACTCGTCTACGCGTAGGATTCGAATCTGCGACCTACTGCTATCAATAGATTTTGAGTCTCACGCACTATCCACTCAGCCACACAAGCTTAACAACCGACAAACACTAGTCACGAATAAAGCAGCTTCATATGCAAAGAACTTGACAATGCCGTACAGCAAAAGTGGCACCAAAAACAAATAGACTCAATTTTGCATGAAACAATTTGGAATATAACAAACTGAAGGCATCCACACTAACTTTGCTAACACCCAAGAGTGGCACAAAAATTTATGACTTAGGTTGGAAAAAAAGAAGGTTCGTACTAATACACTCGCTTCGCAAGTGTAAAGAAAGAAAGCGACTTAAAATCGGCAGAGCTTCATAGCAGACAGTTGATTTATTCTGAGAAGACTTAAAAATGTGCTAACTTTTTCTCAAACTTCGAGACAAAAATCAAGAAAAGGCAGCGGAACCCGGAGATCGGACAAAGATTATCAAAAACCAAATAATCAGCAACCAGTGACTACACTTCATCGCACAATCATTAACCCAGTATAAGTATGGTAAATAAAAACGGTTTAAAAGATTAGTTTCCCCACCCCATTGGCAATATAAGGATTTGCTATTTAATTAATTTATTTATACTACCGGGTATATCCATTTTATGCTTATTTAATTAATTCTAATTTCTAACAATAATTTATGACATAGCCGGTCTAAGACTACCCAAGTACAACATACGGGGAGAGTTAAGAGGTAACTTACGACTAAGAGTAACCAGTAATGTTCTCTTAGTAAAACATTGCTAAAACTAAAACGGTCAAGCGTTGATGATGTTCATATTTACAGCTTTAACTAGCACCGCATACAGCCAAATGAATTGAAGGAATGACAACGCAAAATAGTCCATAATTAAAACAAATCGAATGGCACCCAGAATACGAATTAATTTCAAACGAATCGAAGACAGATTATCAAAAACAGGAAAAAAATTATTGCTTAATAATTCCACTATTATCCAAATTTCAAAGGCTGACAATTTCACAGAAGAGCGGTCAAAATTAAGGTTTTGTTTTCTCTCGAAATTTTCTGAGCTGATAATTCTTTCAACAGTATAAATCACAAATTGATAATCACGGATTGAATTCGTGTAATTCTTAGTTAGTGCATTCAGTTAATATAGTTCACCCCAATGAGAAAGAATTATTTTAATTTAAGATAATCAAAACAATCTCTGCGTGATCCAAAAAATCCATATCTCCATACGATACAATCTTCTTTTTTTCAAAGCCAATCATTTAAATTGTAAAATTTCTATGAAAACTGATATGATACCACTCCTAATTATAAATTAGGAGACAACTGAACTGTTTATAGATATGAAAGAATATTTATTTTACAAAATTGAACACGCATCCATTGCTGGGCAATGAATAGACATTTCTGTGCCATAAATCCACAATTTGTAGTGTTTTCCTCTATAAACCAACTCAACAGTCGTAACTGGAATGGCAATCAAGCTCTGTTTCTGCTTTAAAACACGTGCCGACTCTCTGCTAGCTTGTACGAACTTATCATAATGTTCGCGCAGCAAATTCATAGCAGATTCATTCATGGTTGTCGATCCACTGTAAGGAGGCAGCGGCTGGATAGGGGGAGGGCTTTCGTAAGTGTACATGTTAACTCCCCCCGATACCCCTTCTAGCTTCTTCTGCGGCACCTCCACTTTTTCGCCTTCGAAATGGAACCCCTCTTTCACTTCGTATTGGGCCACAACTGATTTGATCAGTCTAAACGCACATTTGAAGTGATACTAATGTATAGCCAAAACAATTATTAGAGCCAATCGGTTAATTCCGTAAACATAGAAGGCCACAAATAAGGCCCAAATCAGGGTAAACGAAAAAGAAGATAACATCAAAACATAGCTGTTATTTTGGATTCGGAAAAATTAATTTGACGGAAGCGTGCGCACGAAACTTTCGCAATTTAACTTAAAAAATCTCCCAGCATTAGTTCCGTCGTTTTTTGCTGCTTTTGGAGAGATCCTTAAACAATTAAGTGAAACTTGTAATATGCTCCCTCGCAAAAATAATAAGTCAACCACTGTCCTAAATATCCTACCCTCGCTTTGTAAAAGTAAAGCGCAACAGTAAATGCGTCTACTATTTGAGCAGTAAAAAGACTGCAATTACACAAATGTGAGTAACAAAATCATGAACAAGATAAAAATCAACAAAAACGGACAGCGGCACGAGAACTTTTTTTTCTATAAAACTGATATGATACTACTCTTTATTAAAAATTAGGAGACAACTGAAATGTTTATAGATATGACAGAATATTATTATTTACCCTTTACTGATTAGTTATTAAGATTAGTTACTGAATAGCATCATATTGAATAGTTATTAAGATTCTACAACTTACCTCATAGCACCATTTCCATCGCATTTGTCACACTTCACGGAACCCATTCCTTGACAATGGACGCAAGTAATCAAATTGCTACCATTGCACCTCACACACGTGCCTTGAACATTATGGGGAAAACACGTGACCTTTCCACTAGTGTCACAGGCGAAGCACTTCTTCCGCATCAGTCCAAAACACTTGTCGCATTTCTCAACTGTATGCTGGATAACCTTTTCCTTGTTTCCTTTCCAAAATTCCGAATCTGGTTTCAGATCGTACGACCACAGATCACTATAAACAGACTTATTTTTATTTAAATTTACCGCCTACACAAAATTTGAAAGAGTTATAATAAACAATTCTCCAATTTTTTTTGTGAAATTAAGAAATGCTTTCTTATCATTTGATTTTTTTCATAGGCTGAATAAATATACAAAAACTTAGCGCCTGGCAATTTCTGGATATTTTTTGATTAATTGTGATCACAGATTTTCAGTTAGTTTGAAATCGGACAAGCTGAGTCTTAAAACCAAATATTAGACGAGAACAAGTCAGGAGCTGGTCTAGGATTTTCTCTGGAGAGCTTTCTTCGGAATTTTCAGGTAAAGTCCGGAGATTTTTCGGAATTTTTTCTTAATGTTTCAAAAAGGTATTCTCAGATCAATTTTTCAAAAATCAATTACAACTATTTTGAATAACTTTCGTTTAAAAAAATATGTCGATCAAACTGATTTTCCCAGCTCTCCGAAACAAAATAACAACCCTAAATTGATTTGAAACAATTCCGTGCTGCAGACATTTGAAAAAACATAGCCAACTGACAGTTGGAAAAACGTAATGACAGGAAGGAAAGAAAAACTGAACTGACTTGTTTTTTTATGAAAAAACTTCAACTTTCGAATTTGAAAGAAAAACAATTTATGCCCATAAAGCTCTTTGAATTTCTCGAACATTTTATGATGAAGTCTTTTTTGATAAAATTAACTCAATTTGAGAAAACCGGATCAATACGTAAAATTTTGATTTCGCTGGGAAATCTGATTATTAAATTCCTATCTCCAAATCAGAAGTCGATCACGTTTTTCGAGAACTTTACATTTTTGCTGTTCGATAGTGGAGTTTGTCTTTTTTTGAGAAAAAATCAGCCTTCCTTTTAAAAAGAAATCAAAAGTCAAACCAAGGAAAATCAAAATTGAGCGTGAACAAATTAAGACTTTTTCCTGAAAAAAAAAAACAAACAAAAATCACCAATCCCTACATAAAGAAAACTCACTACGTTCATTACTCTTAAGAACAAGTCAAAAACGACGTTTTTTAAGCATTTTTCAGAAGATTTTAGCGCTAAAGCTTATAAAAAACAAGGGCCAGTGGCTGAAAATGGATGGCGTAAAGTAGCACAAAAGGGGAGTCTAAACCTAAGAACCGAACCTACCTGCTGGGCTGACAATTGGCCACTTGGGGCATTTTCCTGCCATACACTTTCTCTGTCTTCGTCACAAAAGAGCGGCTCTCGACATATGTGCTCAATTTGTATCTCAATCTGAAGTCGACTATGAAACTTTTGATGGATACGAATCGGCGTGGATTTTTCGGTCGGTTGAAGAACCAGCTTTTCTTTTTGACATGTTCGTCGAACGAATTGAGAATTTGTTCCTCCGTGATAATGTTCATGTAGTAGCTTTTGTCAAATGGCGGTAGAGCATAGGCCGCGGGAGGAAAACAAGATGATGCTACAGAAAAACACAAAAACTACCTTTTTTTTCGGTTTTGTTGAGTCTGAAGCAGTGTTGAAAAAAATGGTCTTACAGCCCTTTGAATTTCAAGAAGCCGCTCTTTTTCACCCTCCCCTTCCCATATTTCAATTTTTCTTTGATGTCTGTTGGAACGCGTGATGCTACGATGCAAAGTATGCAGAACAAATCTGTTCACGATGGTTGGTTCTGAAAACTGGATCAATTGATAAAGGTTTTTATTCCCCTGGGAAGTCTGAAAATTAAATTCCAATTTCGATACGATTTAATTTACATTTTTCGTGATATTTACAATTTTGCTGTCCGTTTCTAGAGTTTCCTAAACTTAAAAAAAGCTGAAGTAAAAAAAAGTCAAACAGCGAAAAATTAAATTTGACCGTGAACAAATTTATCCTGAAAAAAAGGGAAAAAATCATCACGACCTATATAAGAGTCTGAAATAAAAACTCAAAAAAAAATTCGGAAACAGTCTAGCTCAAAAATTAAATTCAAGCACAGAGGCGAACTTGCACTTGGCATACACAAGCAAAATATGACCCATGACGTTACTGGGGTACACTGAATGAGTAAAACTTTGAGTCTACAAAATTTCTGAAGTAACGCACGCCAATTACGAGTCTACATAATTGCTAAGAGACGCATGCGAATTAGAGTCTACATAATTGCTGAGGGACGCAAGCCAAGTATGACGCATTAGCAGTACCAACCCTCTTAATTTGTTGCGAGTCTCCTTCCCAACTTCTATGCTACAGGTTCATCATACCTCGAAGCTAAAGTGCTATTTGTAATAAAATAGTCTGTGTTAATATCCTCAACATTGGCTGCTCTTAATAGCTGATTAGTGATCGAAATGAACACTAATATTTGCGACTTAGATTGGAAAAAGAGTTCATACTATTACACAAGCTTTGCTTGTATAAACAAGGATAGCAGGTTACTGTGCGAGTAGCACAGAATGTTCCGACCATAGTCTTAAAAAATGAAGTTTTTTTTTCAAATTATTGTTTTTTTTTCGGCGTAGTGTGATAAAAAGAGACAAACAAAAAACAGGCGATTAGGTATATTCGACAGTCATAGTAAAATAAGCAAATTGAAACACTTTTTGTAGAACAATTACTTGAAAAACAAAAAGTAACAAAAAAACAATTTTTCTAAAATTTTTTTTCTAGTTTTGAGAAACTTTAAAAATTTAGATTCTAAAAAGAGGCTGAAAGACTCAAAGTAAACCAACGTTACTCAAGTAAAACTATCTTTTTACATTTTTAATTAAGCTATTGTAAGCTTTTAAGCGATTAAAATATAACTGCTCGCTCGCATTATTCGCTCGAAATAAGAAAAAAAGACAAAAAATCAAAAATTTCAAACGGGTTTTTCTCAACACAGGGGAACTAGGGGCCCAGCTGAAAGCTGGAGAGACCTGTTTGATTATTTTAATATTGATTATTTTAAAATTGTTTTAAAATTTCAGGTTTCTCAAGTCGATAGCGCCCTTCCTACGCAAAAAAAAGTGAAAGAGAAGCTTATGCATTCATTGGTAACGCTTTGGTAAAAAGTTTTCATGAGGGAACTTTTCAAGTCCATAGGTGTTTCCCTAGACAATAGGGGCCCAGCTGGAAGCTGGAGAGACCTGTTTGGTTATTTCAGAAAAAACGTTATACAAATTTTTGATGAAATCGAATTAGCTAGCGCTTTTTGTTTTATTGAAAAAACGAGTTTGAAAAAATGTGGGTGGGGGTGTAAGGTTAGCGAAATCGCAGATTGATTTCGGATGAGGTTTGTTAACTAATGTAGCAAGGTAATTGTGTGCATCACTCTGCCAGAATTGTTATACAATTCTGCCCAGGGAGCGGGACAAGGACCCGGATGCACTTTGCCAAAAAACTTTTTAAAAAACTTTTCCTAAGTATACAGCTCTTCCCCGAGACAAATTAAGGACCAGCCGCTTGGGCAGGGGAGTTTCCTACCACCTGGTCTATCGATTAAACCCTTAATCCCAAATCTGGATGGGTAGTTTTTGAAGAAATCGAAAAAGTTTGAAAAAATGGCCTAAAAACCGAAAAATTGACTATTCCTAAGTGTATAGCTCTTCCCCTAGACAAATTAGGGACGAGCCGTTTGTGTAGGGGGGGTTCCTACAACCTGGTCTATCGATTAAACCCTTAATCCCAAATCTGGACGGGTAGTTTTTGAGGAAATCGGAAAGATTTGAAAAAAGGCCAAAAAAGTCAAAAAAGTGCCTTTTCCTAAGTCTATAGCTCTTCCCCTAGGCAAGTTAAGGACCAACCGCTTGTGCGGGGGAGTTTCCTACAACCTGGTCTATCGATTAAACCCTTAATTCCAAATCTGGATGGGTAGTTTTTGAGGAAATCGATAATTTCCGAAAAAATAGGCAAAAAAATCAAAAAAGTGACTTTTCCTAAGTCTATAGCTCTTCCCCTAAGCAAATTAGGGACCAGCCGCTTGTGCATGGGAGTTTCCTACAACCTGGTCTATCGATTAAACCCTTAATCCTAAATCTGGACGGGTAGTTTTTGAGGAAATCGAAAATTTCCGAAAAAATGGGCAAAAAGTGAAAAAAGTACCGAGTTGTGAAGCTTTTCTAAGACCGTAGGGGGTGGGGTAGGGTAAAAATTGCCCTAAATTTTATGCAAGCAGGTAGGTGAAACGCTACTGAATCCATTGGTACCACTTTTATGAGAATCTGACGGGTAGTTTTTTGGGACAGCGAATTTTTCGAAAAAGCGTCTCAAAAAAAAAAAAAAAAAAAAAAAAAAACCAGATCTCATCTGGAAAAAAAAAAACGTTTTCATAATACCTGTTTAATAAATCAAACAGGAATTGTTTCCAATCACGACTGTAAGGGCTTCAATATGATGTATCACTAAACCCAATCCGATGATTAATTGTGCTCCCTGATTTTGAACACACCCAAATACTAAGTTCCTCCCCATTTTCAATGGTCGGAACAAAAACCGTCCGACAAGAAGCCTTTGATTCAAGATAAAACTTTCGACGAAAAAAACGTAGCTCTTTTCCACTTTACTTGCTTTTATGGCTAAACAGAACTAATCTGATATAACTTTATACTGAGCAAACGTGTTCAGAAAAACTCAATTGATCCGAATACCAATTTTTTTTTTCTGGAATACCCTAACACTAAAAAATAAATAGCTAGCTATCTATTCCATTAAAAGACGTAGAAAAGGCCAAATTCACACCACGACGTCTCAAATATAATTTCGCAAAACTAAGAGCTTAATGAGCTTTACCAGTCCACTGGCATTTATATCATACAGTGCTGATTTAAATTAACCGGACAAAACGCGTTAAACTTGAAATTTGAAACGCATTTTTCTCAAACTGGGTTGAGTTTAGGTGAAAACTAATTTAGGCAAAACTTGCTTAGAATTTTAGCAGAATTAATATGGTGTAATTTGTTTTGCGAAATTCGGGTCAGAAGTTTTACCCCAAAAATGGGTCATTTTGGCTTTTCTTAGTTTATCAAAAATTACGCCGAAAATACCCAGTCGATCACAGACATAATTATATCAAAATGAGCCCCTTACGTAGCCCAACAAACTTTAAGAAGGGTATAGTCTCCAAAACATTGTATAAGTTATTTATTTTTGTTTGATAGACAAAAAAGGTCATTTTTACTATATAAAATACCAACTTTTTATTTAAAAACAATTTTTAAACAATATGCAATATTTTTTGGAGAAAATACCCTGCTTAAAGTTTGTTGAGCTACGTAAGGGGCTCACTTTGATATAATTATGTCTGTGATCGACTGGGTATTTTCGGCGTAATTTTTGATTAACTAAGAAAAGCCAAAATGACCCATTTTTGGGGTAAAACTTCGGACCCGAATTTCGCAAAACAAATTACACCATAATAATTTTGCTAAAATTCTAAGCAAGTTTTGCCTTCATAAGTTTTCACCTAAACTTAACCCAATTTGAGAAAAATGCGTTTTAAATATCAAGTTTAACGCGTTTTGTCCGGTTAATTTAAATCGGCACTGTAGCTGTAAGCGCATTCGTTGCAATGTCCAGAATTTAATGCTTAAAAAAACGATTACAGCTACTTGATCATACGTTCGTTTCTCTGCCATTTAATTTAAATTATACATTGATACAGCCCAGAAAATTTCGCGGGCCCTACAGATTTTTCTTTCACTAGAAAAACAAATTTCACTTTGACACTCAGCTTACATGTTTGCTGATATCCATTTGAAGTAGCTTTTGGCTCTGCTTGAGGACCATAGTTTGCAGGCGCAGGTGGAGCTGTTGGAGCCACAGACGGATAAAAATAGGGTGAACTATCACCGATAGTCACACCGGCTACTGGGTTGAAGCTCACAACTTCAAAGTCTGCAGCTTCAGGGTCAGTTGAAGGCGTCTGCGCTTGCGCACCAGAAGACGAAGGTTGGTTATTTGTCACTGTTAATGGCGGAGGACATACCAATCCTTGTGGCTGAAACAGAAACGGTTGCTTTGATTTGAACTTTGTTCTCCACACAACTTTTAAATGAGCAATTACAAAGTTATGCAGATTAGATTAACATATAACAATTAGAACATCAAAGCTCATCCTTGAGTAATGGCTTCATCGAAAATTTTCATTCGAATCGTTAACTTAAATACAAATAAGTATCAACAGGATTTTCAAGCTAGCATTTTTGTCCATTTTCAGGCATTAAAATTTGTGAATGCCGGTTTATTAGCCCATATCAATTTTGGTCACACTTACAGCTCTTCCTGGATATGGCAATGATGGCGGCTGCGCATATGAAGTGTCAGAAGCTCCTCCGATGTAGGGCGAGTGAGTCAGGGATTCTTCGTAGCTAGGAGGCTCCATTCAACAATCAAAACTAAATTCAACTAATAACTGAAATAAAAAAACGCATTTAACAATTAACTAGGATAGAAAGTTACATTGACTAGTTTTTCAGGACTAAAAAATTTGAGGATCTTTATCTTAATCTTCCTCAATCTTCCTTCATGCTCTTTATTCTACATTGACTGATATGAAATATTCTGTTAGATCCATTTTTGATTTGAGGCAGGGCATAAGAAAAATTACTGAAGTCATAACAAGATTTTGTCTACATCAGGCATTTCGACATGCTGAGATCTGTTTTTTGACACTACAGAATTTCAAAATACCGCCTCTAATTTTGACACAAACTTTTCTTCCATTTCTTTTTTTAAAATTTTTCAGGCAAAGTTGAGCATCTCACCGCTCGCGATATAAGTATAGTATTAAAACAGCATGACGCTCAATAACATGACGTTCCAGCAGTATGTGGCAACAACGCCAATATCAAATAGGCCAAAAACCATCAAGCCGAAATAAAACAGGAAAAAAACACAACAAAACTTTAGCAAATCGATTCAGTAAAAATTAAACCAACATAAAAAGCAAATTTCGAATAGGACGGACAATTCATTCAAATGCTAATATGCTCAAAATTTGTTTGTAGCAGTATTTTCTACGAAGAGGGCCAGGAGATGAGTCGTATGAGCAGTTACTTACGGTAAAAAATATATAGAACCCGATTGCCATACCCTTGCTCATCGCAAGGGTAACAATTTGGCATAGAGTATAAAATTTTAGACTGGTTCAGTCTCTAGAGCTTGAAATTGTGTACCCTTCAAATTTTGTTTCTGATTAAAAACTAATCCAATTTCAGACACAGAGGCGAAGGTGCACTTCGCAAACAAGCGAGAAAACGGCAAAAAAAGTAGCTCTTAAAAAGAAAAATGAAACAAGAAAACAAAGATAAACCTATTCCTTCAAAAACAAAACTTGTGCTATGTGCTGATATCGAGTCTCCGACCTTGAGATTAGGAGTCCCACGTCCTCGCATCTGCAACACATTTGCTTGAGAGATTACTTACACTAGATACCAAAAAAGCAGCAGCAATTGCTATGAAATTGGAAACACTATGCAGCATAACTTCCACTACATGAAACATAGACAACAGACAGTTGAAAAAAGTCAATTAACGCAAGGAGCAGAAAAAAAGTAATCGTTTTTGAGAAAAAAATCAATAAAAAAATATTTTATTCCACTGGGAAATCTGAACGCTAGGTTCCACTTTCGAAAGTAGATTTTCGTGACCTTTACAATTTTCGTGACCTTTCGAAACTAAGTTTTTCGGGACCTTAACAATTTTTCTGTTCGATAGTGGAACTTGCCTTTACCTTAACAAAAAAAAATGAGCTGACTTAAGTCTTTTTCTTAAAAAGACAACGAAAAAAATCACGAGGTATATAAAAGTCTGGGTATATAAAAGTCTGAACTACGTTCATTGATTCTTAAATTCAATTTCTCGAACTTGAAGCTCCGACCTGGAAACAATGAATCTCGCGTCCTCGCATCTGCGCCATAGTCGATTGGAAGTTAACTGACACTAGTCACCAGAAAAGCAGCAACAGATGCTATTAAATTGCTCATGGTTGAAAATACCAAAAAAAAAACAAAGGTACATCGGAAGATAATTTTTTTAATCCGTTGGTATATCGTTTTAATAAAAACTAGCGTGTAACGCACCCTCCGGTGCTTCGATTTTTAGCAACTCGAAAAATCCGAATTTATCGGAAATACTATCTGCATCCTTTGAGTGTACTCTGACAGCACCGATTTAAAGGGTTGGTAATTTCAGAAATGTTTTTTTTTTATTAGTTTTTTAAATTAAAATTTTGAAAATCATAAAAAATATTGAAATTTTTATTATATCTAAGTTTATAATAAATAAAGAAACGTCACATCTCAAAAGCTAAAAGCAATTGAGCACTAGCATTTGGACGCAAGATTTGCAACTCGTGAGATCTCTCTGACAGCCACCAACTAGTTTTCGAAATTTTGGAAAACCAAATTTTCTGAAAATTTTTTCAAAAAATCACAAAAAAAGTCACACCTGGAAAACTACAAATATTTGAGCAGTAATTTTTGGAGGCAAGATTGGCAACTCCTGAGAGTACTTTAACAGCCCCATACTAAAGGGTTGGAATTTCAAATTATGAAAAAAAAACAAATTTTCAGAAAACTTCAAGGATTTGAGCAGTCATATTTGAAGGCTTAATTCACAACTCCTGGCAGTAACCTAATAGAGCCTCACTTTATTTTTGGAAACTTCAAGCTTTGTTAAATTTTTCATACCTTAGTTTTCTGAAAAACTTTGAAAAAAATCCTTAAAAAATGTCATATCTCGAAAACTACAAGAATTTGACCAGCCAGATTCAGAGAATTCAGAGGCCAGATTCGCAACCGCCTGAGAGTACCCTCACAGATTCCAACAACAGGATTGGTATCTTCAAAGTTTTGGAACTTTTTAACATCTAAGTTTTTTTTAAACATTTCGGAGAAAATCATAAAAAACGTCATATCTCGAAAACTATAAGGATGTGAGCAGTCATATTGGAAGGAAAATTTTACAACTCCTGAGGGTGTCCTGGCAAAGCCTCACTACAGAGATAATAATTTCCAATGTTTCGAAATTTTTTATATCTAAACTTTCTGAAAAATTTTGAAAAAAATCCTTAAAAAACGTCATATCTCGAAAACTACAAGAATTTGAGCAGCCATATTCAGAGGCAAGATTTGCAACCCCCTGAGAGCACCCTCACAAAATCCAACAACAGGATTGAGTTCTTCAATTTTTCGGAATTTTTTAAAATCTAAGTTTTTGAAAATTTTTGAAAAAATCATAAAAAACATCATATCTCGAAAAATACAAAGATTTGAGAAGTGAGAATTGGAGGCAAGATTCGCAACCCCTGAGAGTACCCTGACAGCACCCAACTACAGGGTGAGAATTTCAAAAAATGATAAATTTTTTAAAATAAAATTTTAAAAAAAAAATCTCGAAACTAGCTTATCTCGTAAACTAAAAGGATTTAGTTATTCATATATGGAGGCCAGAATCGCATAACCTGGGAAAACTCTTACAATTTCCTACTATTGGGTTGCTTATTCTTATTTCAAACTTGATGAAATAAACACTGAATTTAAACTGGAAAATTGAAAAAAAACCTTAACCATTGCAATATACGATATAGCTTAAACGTGAAAAAATTCTTTCGTTAAACATGCAAAAATGATATGATGAAAGAGCTTAAACATGGCGAATTAGTGAAGCCCGAATTTAAATATATAAGAGAAGAGATGAAAGTTTAAAAATTAGGCGACGGGTAGACAGACATAATCAAATTAATTAAAAAAGCAAGTATACAGACAGACAGACAGACTTAATTTGGCCTCGAAAAAAAAACTGAAAAATTAATGAACTTGCGGAAAATTAATTGAAAACTTTTCTTCAGCATTGCAATATACGATATAACTTAAACGTGAAAAAAAAAATTTCGTTAAACATGCAAAAATGATATTTTGAAAAAGCTTAAACATGGCGAGATAGTCATGCCCGCATTTAAATATATAAAAGAGATGAAAGTTAAAAAATTAGGCGACGGCTAGACAGACATAATCAAATTAATTAAAAAAGCAGGTATACAGACAGACTTAATTTGGCCTCGAAAAAAATACAGAAAAATTAATGACCTTGCGGAAAACTGAAAAATTTTCTGAAGCATTGCAATACATGCGAGATAGCTGTCAATCGCATTTAAACCTAGTATATTTTTGAAGCTGAAGTGTTTCTTATTTTTTTTGCACGAATTGCACTTTTGTTAATGCAGAGCAAATTTGCCTTGCACTTAGCGGATAAAATGGAAGTGAACTTGAGAAAAACCAGAAGCCACACCGCCGAAAATTAAATTTGAACAAATAACCTTCCGGAGAAAATAAAGTTGAATTAACCAACCGACCTAAATAAATGAAAAACTAAATTAAAAAAAAACTCGTTCTAATTTATTAGGATTATTACACAGAGGCGAAGCTGAGCTTCACACCACTTGCAATACAAAGCAGGAGAGCCGCTTGATCGGAAAAAATCAAAATGTCGAAAAAACTGGATCTATCAAAATGAGTAAGGCCAGTTTCAAAAAAACTCGAAAACAAAAAAATGTGAAAATACCATCCAAGAAAAATATCAAGCGGTAACAAAGCCGAAAACACTCAAGCAGAGACCCTTTAAACCAAAAAAAAACAAGAAGACTATAAAACTTACAAAAAAGTTAAGAAGTCCCACTCGCCCTCAAAAAATACACACATTTAACTTTATTTGCTGGTCATATGAAACAATATGAGGCCACAAAGCCGATATAATACAGGTCAAAAACTATTAAGCCGAAAAAGGAAAATCAAAAAAAGAGAAGCCGAAAAAATACAAAAAAGTTAAAGACCCCCTCACTCTCAAAACACACACGCACAAAAAAATTTTCGCTCATCGAAAGACGCAATATGAGGCCATTAAGCCAATTTAATATAAGCAGAAACCAAAAACTCGACACCAGAAAAATCAAAACATAGCCAACTCACAGTTGGAAAAAAGTAATGAACGTAATAAAACTGAAACAAAAACTGACAATTTATGATAACACTTTTTTGTAAAAACTATTCCAATTTGAGAAAACTGGATCAATAGGCAAAACTATCATCTGGGATATCTGATAAATAGTTTCCATTTTCGAAAATAGAAGTTTACATTTCTGCCGTTCGATAGTGGATTTTGCCTACCTTTTAACAATGGAAATGCACTGACCTTGAAAAGAAATCACAAGTCAAACCGCAAAAAAAAATTAAATTTAGCGTGAACAAATTAAGACTTTTTCATGAAAAAAAAAAACAAAAATCACCAATCCCTACAAAAGAAAACTCACTACGTTCATTACTCTTAAACACTAAAAACAACTATAATGTAACTTGCGTACAACAAAAAAAAATCAATTCTACGATCTGGCAACTACGCCAACAAAAGCAGACAAACAATAGGCCGACAATTTTTTTAAAACAGAAAATTTACCGTTTGAAAAAAAGCAGGTCGTCAGATTCGAACCCACCACCTTTGCCGTTCCGGACGTATTCGTTACCTCCGGACCAAAAACTGAACCTAAATTTACCATTGCTAATTTTGAGCATTCTGTGAACAAATTTATTTATGCGAAAAAGTCTGCTACCCGATTGCAAAACCCTTGGTTATCGCAAGGGTAAAAAAATGATCCAAATTTTGTTAAGGATAGCATAATTGATTTGCAAAGCAGTTTTTTAAACTCAGAAATAAATGAAGCCGATTACCATTATCTGAACCCTTACAAGGACTTCTTCCTTATGTCTCAGCAAAATAAGTACATATAAATTCAATTAGCCAAACCTAATGGAAAAATAAGGAAAAAAAACTAGAACAAGCCTAAAACATCATTTATTTAAGATAACAAGGTTTCAAATAATCCGAGTAAACTGATATCAGCAATTTAAAGACGTCAATCAACCACTCTGGCTGTCCGTTCAGTTGCGAGCAATTCTTGAGCTTTATATTACATATTAGAGCCCTTCGTTCCGGCTTAGTTGCTTCTAAGACTATTTACAACTTCGCAGTATCTATCTCACTTCGAGAACGAGAATTGACTACATTATGCATCTATGAATTTGATATCCAGGTGCTTGGCACAGAAAGACATCATTCTGCTTCGCTCCTCGATCACTTTCGCAGTTGGCTTGCCAGCCCCGTGTCCTGACTTTGTGTCTATCATGGCCATAAGTGGACTTGTTTGTTGCTGTGGGTATTTGTTGGCCTCGTGCTGCAGAGTGGCTATGAACTTCAGTGTATGTAGTGGCGAAACTCGGTCGTCATGGTCGGCAGTGACTCCTGGAAAAACCCGAAAAACCCTTCGATAAAATCGTTTACGAATTACTGCTCCACATACCAGAAGATATTTGATCAGCCCAAAACTTCTCAATTTACAACGGAAACCGATTGTTCACTCATCTCAGGACGTAAAAACGAGGTCAAAAGTCTAATTAACTATAAAAGGCACCGTTTTTTGACCGATTATCTTTTTCAAATCCGACAATTCAAATGTATTGACTTATATTATATTAACTCTAAACAAAAAAAGACCAAATAAATCAACTACCAGCCTTAAATAAGCTTTGGCTCATTACGAGGCCAAACTGTGCACTGTATAGGCGCACAATTTGGTGTGTGTAGGTTTCTGCAATCCAGAGACAAGTCTTTAAACATGGTCGAAAATGTAAGTGACTTTCACTTACAAAATTTCCGTGGATTCCGCATACAAATCCGTGTAACTTAATTTTTGTCGGCACATTAGTTAAATTGCGAATTCCGCAACCAACGAGTATAGAAAGTTTTTTTTCGAATTCCGCAAATGTAAGCGGATTCTGCAAAACTTAGGCGAATTCCGGATTAGGCCTAAAAAACTTGTTTTCGCCAAATAAATTGCCTCCACTCATTAGAGAAGACTTTCGCCAAAATTTTTTGGAAGTTTATTGCCTGCTAATAAAAAAAACAAACAAAAATTGAAAGCGAGGAATAATGAACTCAAATTGGAAGTTTCAATCCTGAGCTTAAAATATATTTAAATGATAAATTGAAAACATACCTCGCACCGGTTAAAAACATGGCAAATAATTCTAGTTCGGAGTGTTTTATCCGCAAACAATTGTCGAATTTTTAACTAACGATTCTCAACTGTTTTCAGATATTGCCGAAGAAATATCATATCCGTTCGCTCAAGTATTTTTTCCGGCAATCTTTCAAATTGGCTGGAGGTTTAAATTAGCTCAGAATAATTTCTAAATTCAACAAGAACTAGCTAGCAAGCCCGCCTCCAATAATCAATTAGCTCGCAAAAATTAGTTGTTGTTCAGATCAAGTTATCCAAGCAAAAAAAAACTTTGAACAATTTCAAGTTAAGCCAGATCGTAAGCCGGTTTCATAGATCGAATCGGTTCCCGAAAAATCGAAGTTTTTCTAAGCAAATTATTCAAGCTGTGAAATTTAAAAATATTTCAAAGTGTTTCTGAGCAAATCGGATGGCGCAACTTAAGGTTTTTATATGAAGCTATTCAAGCGATAAAATAATGAATTATTTGAAGTTGTTCCATAAAGCGAATCAATTTCCAAAAAAAGTTTTTCTAGGCAAGCTATTAAAGCACAGAAACTTAGAAAAAAACCACGGTGTTTCATAGCCATGCAAAGCTATGCAATTTTATTAAAATATTCAAGTTAGTTACAAAAATGAACAGGATTGCAAACAGTTTTTCTGTTGAAGCCTTTCAAGCGATTTCTAAGTTTTTTAATTAATTTTTTTTGCTCGAGCTAATGGAGCAAAGAACTTCGAAAAATGAGATAGTTTTCCAAAGTAAGCAGTTTAAGCTATGAAACTTTGACATAATTCAAGATATTTAATGAAACAAATCGGTTCACGAAAAACTTGTTCTAGCACGCTAGTCGAAACTTTGAAACTATTCGAAATTTTGAAAACAACGACATTTTAAAAAACTCGAATTAATTCACAGACTGACTCGGTTTGCGAAATTTTAACGTTTCTCTAGGCAAGCTAATAGAGCTATGCAACTTTGAAATACTTCATGTTATTTCATAAACCGAATCAGTACGCAAAAAGTTTTTCGAAGCAAGCTATTCAAGCAGTGAAATTTTCAAATATTGCAAGTTATTTCGCGAACTGTATTGGTTCGCGAAAAGTTAAGTTTTTCTGAGCAAGCTTTTGAAGCTATGAAACTTTGAGTAATTTCAATTTATTTCGTTGATTGAATCAGTCCGCGAGAAGTTCAAGTTTTACTAAGAAAGCTTTTCAATCTTTGAATTTTTTCGAGATATTTTATAGATTGATTCTGTTCGCGAAAAGTTTAAATATTTCTCAGCCAGCTTTTAAGTTAAGAAATTTTGAATTATTTCATAGACTGAAACATTTCGCGAGAAGTCCAAGTTTTTTAAGCAAGCTATTCAAGCAATGATACTCTGAAAAACTTCAAGTTATTTCGTGAACCGAATCGGTTCGCGAAAAGTTTCAGTTTTTCTGAGCAAGCTTTTGAAGCTATGAAACTTCGAGTAATTTCAATTTATTTCGTTGATTGAATCAGTCCGCGAGAAGTTCAAGTTTTACTAAGAAAGCTTTTCAATCTTTGAATTTTTTCGAGATATTTTATAGATTGATTCTGTTCGCGAAAAGTTTAAATATTTCTCAGCCAGCTTTTAAGTTAAGAAATTTTGAATTATTTCATAGACTGAAACATTTCGCGAGAAGTCCAAGTTTTTTAAGCAAGCTATTCAAGCAATGATACTCTGAAAAACTTCAAGTTATTTCGTGAACCGAATCGGTTCGCGAAAAGTTTCAGTTTTTCTGAGCAAGCTTTTAAAGTTTTGAAACTTTGAATTATTTCAAGTTATTCCATAGACTGAACCGGTTCACGAGGAGCCCAAGTTTTTGAAGCCAGCTAGTTAAGCTATGCAACTCTGAACCATTTCAAGTTATTTCGTGGACCGAATCAATTCCGGAAAAATTTCAGTTTTTCTAAGCACGCTTTTAGAGCTATGAAAATTTGAATTATTATAAGTTTTTTCATGGACTAAATCGGCTCGCGAAAATCTTCAAGTTTTTTGAAGCTAGCTATGAATCTTTGAAATATTTCAAGGTATTTATTTCCTGGACCGTATCGGTCTGCGAAAAGATTCAGTTTTTCTAAGCAAGCTTTTAAAGCAGTGAAACTTTTGAATTATTTCAAGTTATTTCATAGACTGAATCGGTTCGCGAAATGTTTCTTTCTTAGCATGGAGATTGCTGTAAAGAATTTTCGGACTGAAAAGAATCTTAAGCGCAAAATTTTGGACAACAATTAGGTAGGTGCTGTCTAGCCTTGAAGTTGGATCGAGTTCATCTTCCTCTGATGGTTGCTCTGAATGATTCTTAATCGTTGCGCTCGATAGCCTTTTAAACATTGTCTCCTAATAAGCATTGTGTTCGTTGTTCAGTTTAAGTTTTTTCATGGACTAAATCGGCTCGCGAAAATCTTCAAGTTTTTTGAAGCTAGCTATGAATCTTTGAAATATTTCAAGGTATTTATTTCCTGGACCGTATCGGTCTGCGAAAAGATTCAGTTTTTCTAAGCAAGCTTTTAAAGCAGTGAAACTTTTGAATTATTTCAAGTTATTTCATAGACTGAATCGGTTCGCGAAATGTTTCTTTCTTAGCATGGAGATTGCTGTAAAGAATTTTCGGACTGAAAAGAAGCTTAAGCGCAAAATTTTGGACAACAATTAGGTAGGTGCTGTCTAGCCTTGAAGTTGGATCGAGTTCATCTTCCTCTGATGGTTGCTCTGAATGATTCTTAATCGTTGCGCTCGATAGCCTTTTAAACATTGTCTCCTAATAAGCATTGTGTTCGCTGTTCAGTTTAAGTTTTTTCATGGACTAAATCGGCTCGCGAAAATCTTCAAGTTTTTTGAAGCTAGCTATGAATCTTTGAAATATTTCAAGGTATTTATTTCCTGGACCGTATCGGTCTGCGAAAAGATTCAGTTTTTCTAAGCAAGCTTTTAAAGCAGTGAAACTTTTGAATTATTTCAAGTTATTTCATAGACTGAATCGGTTCGCGAAATGTTTCTTTCTTAGCATGGAGATTGCTGTAAAGAATTTTCGGACTGAAAAGAATCTTAAGCGCAAAATTTTGGACAACAATTAGGTAGGTGCTGTCTAGCCTTGAAGTTGGATCGAGTTCATCTTCCTCTGATGGTTGCTCTGAATGATTCTTAATCGTGCGCTCGATAGCCTTTTAAACATTGTCTCCTAATAAGCATTGTGTTCGTTGTTCAGTTTAACATTGAGTCCATAGCATATTCCGACTTTCATTTAAAATATGAGATAGTCTTTCATGGCTAAGCTTTGAATGTGCCACAAAAATTGTATCTGCCATCAAAATTATGTGTAATTTTTGGATAATTAAGAAAACATTAGTATTTTCTTAGCCACGTATTCCTAGTTTTTCCCTCGCAAGCACAAGCTAAATATAATTTTTGTTATTATACAGTATTTGAATCAAATAGCTTGCCTCAATTCAACTTGGAATTATTTCTGAGTTGAGATTTTTGCAGCATGCTCTACGCGTTCTTAAAGAGATCGCACGCAATATTTATTTAAAATCCCAAAAAGCAATTTTTAAAAACCGATATATTAGTCAAAAGCTTAAGAGGAAAAATGTTTCAATTGATATAAAAATTTTGTCACAATTTGTTTGTTGTAGAATCCAAGTTCCTCTGAAGAAAACAACAATTTCTCGATAAAAAAATCCATAAACGTTCTACTTCTCAGACAGCTAATTCTACTTCGCAGCAAAAATTTTCATCTATCCTCAGGACTGGTTGATGCACATGCAGACATTTTATGTACATGTCATCAGTAGAAAAAACAAACAGCTTTGATTCTCCATTGAAACGTCAGCACGGATCTCAATTTATGGGTCGACACTGAACACAAAAGTAGATCCTAAAATGGGGTGTGATAAACTTGAATTTTCATTTTTATGAAGTTCATCTCAATTTCTTTAAGTTTGGTGTGCCATCTCTATACTACTTCTGAAATACGCCATTTGTAGTTTAATCTAAGTCCATGTTAACATATTTAAGAAATTTCGGAACGATCAAACAAAACGAAAGAACAAAAGAAGATCAAAGACAGCGTCATTGTTGCGGAATCTTCTTGAAATTCCCAAAATACACAGTTTCGCCTCGTTATTCTATTCACCGAGGGGCCAATAATCCGACAACACGTAGGTAGATGCCCATTGAGCCGGAAACAAATGCCATAAAAAATTGTCAAAAAATACGAGCAAGTTTTAAAAGTATGAACTTTTCTACCACAAATGACCTATTAGCTTTCAAAGCAAAAATCAACTTTAAAACAATAACCACAATCATAGCATGGAAGCCTTGCAGACGAAAGCGAGTAAGCCAACAAATTACTTTGAAATATGTCACAAAAAATTTCCACAACCAAAATTTTTATATGTTGTCGCAATTCGAATGACGGTCAATTTGAAATAAACATGTCAGGAAACACATTTACCAGCGTTAAATAAGCACTGGGCTGTCATCTTAATGGAGGCAACTACGCCAAAAACATGCTTAAACTTCCACTGAGCAAAAAGAAATTGTTGTTATGGAAAAAAATTGAGCAATAAAATTTTTAAGACATAACAAACCGAAACTAATTAAGCTGAATCACCTTCCAAGCAAAACTGAAATTATACTTAATCGAAATTATACTAAGAAATTTATACTAAATCGGAGCTTTAAATTGATAGATTAGAAGAAAAAAAACTAACATAAAAATGAGAAGAAATGCTGTGAAAAAATAAACAGATAATCAGAAAGAAATCCAGGGTGTGGAAACAAGCCGACCAAAACTAAAAACAGGCAAAATAGACTAATTTTTCCAAGCCTGAAAGCAAGGCTATATCAGGAGTGACTAACAAGCAACAAACAGTTAAATTTGAATGTTATAAATTGAGTTAATGTAGAGTTCATGTGATTTTAACAAGGATACAGTAATCCTAATAAACAAATTACTTAGCTCAAAACCTAGCCAACAGATAGTTGGAAAAGAGTCAATGAACGCAAGTAAACAGAAAAAAAAAAAACAGTACACAAAATTATTTTATGAAAAAACCTCAACTTTCGAATAAAAAAATAGATACTTTTTCAGCTCTTCGAAATTCTAGAATATTTTATGTTTGAAACATTTTAAAATTAACCAAATTTGAGAAAACTGGATCAAAAATTAAAATTTTTATTTTTCTGAGAAAATTAAATACCATTTTTGGAACTACAAGTCGATCTCGTTTTTTGTGACCTTTTAACTTTTGGTGTTCGATAGTGAAGTTTGCCTTCCTTTTCACAAAGAAAATGCACTAAACTTCTTCTTAAACAGAGACAAAGCTTCGCTTCGCAAAGACTAGCGCGAACACGACAAAAAGCAGCTTTATAAATCGGAAATAGAAAAAGTAGAAATAAGCCTGGATTTAGTAAAAATGTGGCTACGTCTGGGATTCGAACCTGCGACCTGGGTCTCACGCCATAACCAGTCGGCCACGCACGCTTTATAAATACATTACAAGCATTAGCCACAAATAAAGCAGAGAACAGAAAAATTCCGATGATCGGTTGTGATTATAGTTAAAACGCCACCAAATAAAAAAAAACACTTTCAATTTCCATTCAACACTTTTATTTGCGAGTTAGTTTAGGGGAAAAAAGAAGGTTCGTACTACTACACTAGCTGCGCGCTATTTTAAACAATTGAAATTAACTGAACTTCATTTACTTAGCAAAGAAATCAAACATCAAACCGCGAAAATGAAAATTTGATCCTGAGCAAATTTCAAGACTTTTACTGGCAAAAAAAAAACAAAAAGAAAACAAAAAAAACAAATCATCACAGACTATATAAGAATCTGAACAACGTTCATCGATTCTTAAAAAAATTATGTTCCCATTTGATAACTCTTTCTAATTCCCAGCGTAAAAATGCGCAAAAAAGTAATCTAGCGCTACTTGAAGTTTGAAAGCCATCTTACTTACCTAAAAACGCCGGCCACTGTCCTTCTTTCGGCATCTTCACATTATGAAGAGGCGAATAGGTGAGTAGATATTCAAAGTGTGCTTTGTTCTCATCTGGGTATCCGAAGTCAGATTGCCAGGCGGCTCCGATCGTGAACAAGTGGAACCGGAGCATGTCCAGCACTCCCACTTGACAAATGACTACGCCGAACAAGTTGGGACGCTGCAACATGCATGCAGCTGTGAGAAGACCTCCGTTTGATCCACCTGAAATTTATTCTTTGTAAATAGATTTATTCTTTGAAATAAATTGCAAAGCATAAAGACACATTATGTATAAATTATGCATTTCAAAAAATTGCGAGATATATTGAGTTAGAAAACTTCTGAAATCGAATTTTCATGATTGTTATGTCGTTTGAAACAAATCATTTTTTTCCGGTTCATTTGATGAGTTACAAATGCATCAACTTGTTCACTTTTTATTATTCGAATGTTAGAGCACATGCTATGAAAAAGCTGTAAAGGTGCACAAGATTGGCACAAAAATTTGCGACTTAGGTTGGTAAAAAAGAAGGTTCGTACTAATACACTCGCTTCGCAAGTGTAAATACAAAACGAGCGTAGATAACGACAGTGAATAGAATCCACAAAGCAAACCAAAAAGCTCTCAAGATTTCGCCTCTCACCTTGTATGATAATGCGACTGGGGTTCGTGTACTTCTCCTGGACCATGTAATCTGCGGCCCCGATAAAATCATCAAACACATTCTGCTTATTCAGAATCTGACCCCCCGTGTGCCACTCCTCCCCGTACTCACTCCCCCCTCTGATATTCGCCTGGCAGAAGATCCCGTCGAAGTGTTGCATAAACATCAGATTAAACGGAGAAAAACTGGGTCCCAGTGCAATATTGAACCCTCCATATCCGTACAGAAGAATTACATTCTCAGAGCTATCCAATTTAAGCCCATTTTTGTAGTTGACAAACATGGGAACTTTGGTTCCATCTTTGCTGGCGTAAAAGACCTGCTTGCTGGTGAAATCATCTTGGTTCACGTTTTTTAATTTCATTTCGCGCCACATTTCTAGTTTAAAAGAGGGATCTTTGAGATCCACCCTGTATACAGTTCCTGGAGTGAAGAACGTAGATACTCGGAAAAACAGTTCGTACGCGTCATCTTTGACAGAGATGCCATTCACAGCTGATATGCCGGCGTCTAGTTTCTAAACCAATCAAATTTACATTACATTTAAACATTCCAGCAGGCATCATCAACGATATTAGTTTTACTATTTCAGTTCAAACCGGTTTAAAATACCGAATCTTGTGCTTCCTTGTAAGTTTAAAAAAAAAACAATCAGTCCGTAAACAAAACTTGGGTGATATCAAAAAAACTCTGCTGTCTCTGAGCTTTATACCCACCTGTAGCACTTCCCAAGTTGTCGCATCGTAAATGAACAGAGTGTCGACAACGTCAATGATGTAGTTCACCACAAACATTTTGCCCTCTGCCATTGCAGACACGTGGTCCAACACATCTTTGCTCTCTGCGATCACATCTTCCAGTTTGTAGTTGGGGTCATCCAGGTTCAACTTCACCAGTTTCCACTTGGGAGCACTACACACAGTTTAATTGTACACGCAAAATTTGAAAAAAAAAGTTTTATTTTTTTTTAGAAAAAAAAGAGTATCAGTAAACCACAATAAAACACCAAATACGTGGATTTCGAACTACGAGTATATTAAAACATTTAATTATTCACCTTCCAGACCTTCCAGTAGTGATTAAATGAAATCTTCATGAGGTGAGAGGGGGGTTATTGTTCAAGTGAAATGACCGCTTTCATCAGCCAAAATATTTGATAGAAAACGAGTAAACTATGTAAAAAAAGTACTTACTCTTTATTAGTGAGGAGTAGTACACTGGTTCCATAGTTATACACATACTGGTACTCTGCCTCCATCGTGTTAAATATTTTCTTCCACTCCAGTTTGCCATTTATCTCGTAATTGCTCGTTTCTAAAGCAGACCATTTAAAAACATTGAATAAAAAATAATTTAAGACAACAGAAATACATGATCTGAATTGAATATGGCACAGCCATTAGCACCAGAGTTAATGAGTAGGCTAAGTTTTGAGCTTGAAATCCAGTGTTTAAAAACGATCAGTCGACAAGGCAATCGTTTCTGATTGGGACAAAAAAAAAGAGAAACAACCGAAATAAACGAATGCAGTAAGGGCAAAACTTCAAGTCACACATTAGTAAAACAATTTGATTGAGCTCACCTAGATCGAAGTACCATAATAGACACTTGGTGTCACATGACTCAGATATTGCGAGGAAGACGTAACGCCCGTCATCCGAGACTGTCGCCTGGCCCATGTAGTCAGGGAAGTCGGGGAAATCAGCCACGATGACGTCACTCATCTGGTCTTCTCCCAGCTTGTGGTAGTAGAGAGTGTGAAATTTGTTGGCTACTGTGCTGGTTCCACTCGCATTAGTTCCGTCTGCCGGGTACCTTAGGAAGGGACATTAATAATTTACAATTTTTTTTCAGAGCGGCCGTGGCCGAGTGTGTAGGACACTACCATTAACACAAGAGTTGTGGGTTCGAATCCCACTTCAGTCACGGTTGGAGGAGTCCCAGTGTCATCCGCCTCCTCAAAGCGGGATCGGCTACGCCGAAACGGATGACATCTATCTACCCATGGAAGTAGGGCGGGCTCAAGGTAGCAAGACGAGGAAATAAGGACCGGGGTAAAAAAAAAACAATTTTTAAGAGGATACAGGATATCCATTCAAAGCCGGACTATGTCACTATGTCGCATGGAATTAGCGTTCAGAAATACTATAACCTTGTCAATCAAAAATTGAAAAAGAGTTGTGAACGCAAGTAAACATAAAAAACACTGACTTTCTTGAAAAAATTTCAAATTTCGAATTTCAAAGAAAAAAATGGATACCCATTAAGCTCTTTGAATTTCTGAAAGAATTTATGATTGGCGCTTTTTTGATAACATGAAGCCAACTAGAGAAAACTGGATCAATAGGTAGTTTTTATTCCGCTGGAAATTTAAAAATTAAATTCCACTTTCGAAACTAGAAATCGTTCACGTTTTTTTTTCGCGCCATTTCCACGTTCGCTTTTGGAGAGTGCTATTTACGTCACTTTCAGCAGATGAACTTCATTTGAACTCAAAAAAAAGCATATATACCTAAGTGCATTCATAAATGCATCAATATGTTTGAAAGCACATCCGTAGTTATTAGAGAATTTTTCTGAAAAAAAACTAACAAAAAATCATCAAGACCTATATAATAGTCTTCACTACGTTTATTACTCCTTATTTGAACAAATTCAGCTATTTTCTATAAGAAACTAATCGTGTGATTTTCTGAAATCTGATTGGTTGAAAAACCATTTAACGATTTTCCCATGGGGTAGACGCCCAACCCCCATTGCAATATAAGAAGATGAGTCCCAAAAACATCAAATACATCAACACAGAGGCGAAGCTGAGCTTCGCAAACACTAGCGCGAACAGGACAAAAAGCAGCTCTATAAAATGCAATAAGAAAAAGTAGAAATAAGCCTCGAATAAGTAAAAATTCGGCTACGTCTGGGATTCGATCTACGCCCTATATATTATGAGTCTCACACACTAACCACTTAGACACGGACGCTTAATAACTCAGAAACACAAGCAACAAATGAAGCAGAAAATATTTGCTATGAAATTTTATATGCTACAGATCGTGATTATAGCATAAGTGCCACCAAACACTTTTGATGAACACTTTTTTGCGAGCTAGATTAGAAAACAAGAAGGTTTGTACTAATACACTAACGCTCGCAAGCCCACTAGTGTAAACACACATCCAATAGCACGCGCAAGCACTGAATTAAGTAAATCTGCTGATTACATGCCCTTAAGAAAATACAACGTTGCAGGAATCATGAGAGAGGCAAAGCAATGCTTCGCATCACTAGCGGTACAGAAAAAAACTGAGACAAAACTGCTCAACAAATCATTTTCATATCTTTGTCTAGAATTTTCTTTTCCACTTCCTTGAATAAAACGCTCCTTTCCAGAAAAACATGCCTGAATTCAGTTAAACTGAATGTTAAATTTGCATTGAAAAAAATTGCGAAGCGGTAACAAGCCAGGTAACTATTGAGCAGGCGCGCGTTGATCCCAAAAAAGTTTTAATAAAAAAACAAGGATAGCCGGTTACTGTGTAAGTAGCACAGAACTTTCCGACCATATTCGTTAAAAATTACAAGAAAAGCTTTTTTGTTTCCTTCAAATTAGTGAAGTATTTTTCTGCGTGGGTAATAAAAAAAAGTCTGATGTAAAATTATACTTTAGGCATAAATGATATTCATAGTAGTACACGCCAATAAGACACTTTTTTTTTTAGAAAATTCACTAAAAACTTTAAAAAATGGAACTACAAAACTCCAAAAACTAATTTTACTTGCCAAAAACTAATTTTTTCAACTAAGTTTTGCCTAATTAAGCTGTTGTAATCCTGATCGCTCGCTTTATTCGCTCAAAAGTAGACAAAAAATCAAAAATTTCAAACCGATTTTTCTCGACACTAGAAAATTTTTTGGGAATTTTTTTAATGTGGTTCGAATCACGACTGAAAGGGCTTTTATATGATATCTCACTCAACCCTCTCCGATGATTGTTTAGGGTACCTGATTTTGCGCGGAAAACAAACTAAAACAGACCCAAATACAAAGTTCCTCCCCATTTTCAATGGTCGGAACAATAAAAGCAAAAAAAATTCTAGGTCCCACCTCAAATAATTTAGGTTAATTTTTTCGCTCATCTGACTCAAAAAGTGGCCGCCTAGCCGATTTATTGCAATCTGAAACCTTTTAAGCCGAATTAAGAGTAAAAGAGAAAATAAAAATTAAATTAAAAAAAAAACGATATACTGAAATCGGAGTTGGCACATTTCGAATAGAACGTAAATGCAAACATGGTCGAAGTTGGTCTGTTGTTTGACGAAACTACAGATGGAGATGACCACCAATTTCACTCCTGTGAACTATGATGCTGATAAAATGATCGAATTGTTGCGGAAAAATCTTCAATGTAAACAAAATATTTACAGCTTACCATGAAATCTTAAGAGAAACAAGGAACTACGTAATTTGCTGGAATTATCCTATATGCGACCAAAACCTGTATGCGGTTGCCGAACACAACAAATTACTCAACATCAGCAAAATGTGAAAAAAATGTAAAATAGAGGCCAAGTTGTACAACACATTAACAAACAAATAGTCTTAGAAATAAGAAAACAAACTAAATAACAGAAAATTTCAAGTTTTGTGAAATTTTTTATACCTAAGTTTACTGAAAAAATTTCTCTCCCCTATTGTTTTGCCCCTATTTTGGCAAAATTTTCTGCGCCGCAGGCAAAATTTTGAAAAAACGGTCAAAAAGCCGTTTTTGGGCACTTTTTGAAAAATATTGACAAAAAAATCGCGTTTTTTGGCGCGCGCTCCAGCTCAAAAAATAGTTAATATTGGCGCCAAAGGCGCCCTTAGAAAAATTTTAGGGTCGGTAGGCCAAAAATGGATTTCTTAAAAAGTATCAAAGGGGGGACCCTTTGGGTCGGCAGGGGGTCGAATCCCTGAGGGGGGGGGGGGGGGGGGGGGGTTTCGGGCGTCCGCCTTCCCCCGCTAAATCCGCACCTGCCCTGAGAGTACCCTCACAGATTCCAATAACAGGATTGAGATCTTCAACGTTTTGGAAATTTTTAAAATCTATGTTTTTGAAAATTTTTTGAAAAAATAAAAAAAAAGTTATATCTCGAAAACTACAATGATTTGAGAAGTGAGAATTGGAGGCAAGATTCGCAACCCCTGAGAGTGCCCTGACAGCACCCAACTACAGGGTGAGAATTTCAAAAATTTAGAAATATTTCTAAAATATATTTTTCTAGAAATTTTTGAAAAATATCGAAAATTGCATACCTCGTAAACTAAAAAAAATTTGGTCATTCATATATGGAGGCCAGAATCGCAAAACCTAGGAAAACTCTGACAATATCCTACTATTGGGTTGCTAATTTCAAACTTGATGAAATAAACACTGAATTTAAACTGGAAAATTGAAAAAAAAACCGTAACCATTGCAATATACGATATAGCTTAAACGAGAAAAAATTCTTTTGTTAAACATGCAAAATAATACGTTGAAAAAGCTTAAACATGGCGAGAAAGTGAAGCGCGCATTTAAATATATAATAGATAGATGAAAGTTTAAAAAAATTAGGCGATGGAGAGACAGACATAATCAAATTAATTTAAAAAGCAGGTATACAGACAGATATTGGCCTCGAAAAATTTGGCCTCGAAAAAAAAACTAATTAAAAACAAAAAAAAAACAAAACCAATTTCATTGCATTCTTCAACTCACTTGTTGTAGAAAAGTCCCTTGCTGTCGTTTGTAAATTTGAGGGATGAGAACTTGACTCGTTCCAGCTTGTCTGGTAGCAATTCCATCTTCAACGCATCTTTGATGAAGATGGTGGTCCAGTCAGAGCCAGCCTCGCTCACCGCATTTGCAAACAGTGTGCCCTTTTTACTAAAATGCATTGAATCTTTTTGAAGTTTCAGAGCATCTTCAAATTATGAAGCATCAAATCGCAAAACCGGATCAAAAATGCTAAAAAAAAAGGACTTAAAAAACTATTGTGCATTGAGCGGTTTTGAAGAAAAAATAAAGTCCAAGAATGGGTCAAAAGACCCATGAATTCAACCTTCTCAATGCCGCAGGGGTAAAACCTAAGCACACAGAAGGGAAGATGATTTTCCATTGGTTACGACTTAGTTGAAAATCGGCATTGTGGTTGTGAAAGTTGAAAAATTTCCAATCGTCTAACAAAATACCATGCCGAGCGATACCTATTAAACGCACGCGCCAAAAGGGCTCTCTGAAGGGGAAACCTACGTTCAGGGACTCTCAAAAGGACAAATGCTTCCTGAACAAATACTGCATGCCTTGGAGAAGCAACAAAGTTTGCAGAGCATACCACTCTATAAACACTCGGCATTAATGCCAAATTGCCTTCCTTATATTCAAAAAAGGCTTTTTGAAACGACAAGCCAATAAAATGATTGATAAAACACTAGATTAGGCGGATATTAAGCAATGGAAGCTGTGCAATGCGCGAGCTGTAAAAAAGTTATCTCGAGATATAACAAATGCTTTGCTTGTGTAATCATTACATTAGTTATATAAATTATTTCTACGACAAACTCACATAATGAAACGCTAAGGTATCGGAAAAAATTTTTTGCACGAATTCAGACACGCTCATACCCAAATTTTTCGAAAATTTTTCAAAGAAAGCTCGTAGGTAATCGCTCTGGCAAATAACAAAAAAAACTTTTAAAATGGAAACTAAAAAATCTGATTAAGAAACAGCAAAAAGTACACACTTCACACAACTACCAGTGACCTAACTTTCCAAAATTCATACGCATCGCCAACTTACTTGAATGTGTATGATCTAATGCTAGAAGTGCCGTCCTCAGTGAACCCATTAGGGTCTAAAAATATCTCGCCTTTCTCTGATAGGTCCTTCGTTCTATACAGCACCGATTGGTTTTGCAGCCCACTGTTGTGAAAGTAGTAATAGTAGTCCGCCCGTTTCATAGGACATCCATACCTCTCATAATCGTACAATTCAGTTAACCTTTTCTCAATTTTAACTCTGTCTTCGTAACTATTTATAATCGGATTAATAAGCTCATTTTGTTTGTCAACAAACTCTTTCGTTTCAGGGCTCTCAGGGTCTTCTAGCCAACGGTAAGGGTCCCCAATTTCGTGAGCATGCGCTGAGGTGAAACAGTTCTCGTCCCGTTTGAATTCTGGGTAGCCTGCATAACTCAGAGGCATTCTGACAGCACTGGATCTGAAAATGGATCTCCGGCTGACATTACACAAATTAGTTACGATCTTCCAAGTATATCTAATAAACATATTGCCATCTGAATGAAATTTACCGCATATCCAAACAGTAGAAGGAACAGAGTTAAACACTGCACCATGGGGCACTTCTTATTGTTCCGATCAATGAAAAAGGGGAGAACTTTTGTCTTCGGTGTGCTTTAGTGGGGTGCGTACAGTTAAATGATGTGTCAGTAAATTACCAGATCAGTAAACCCGATTTACGTAATAATTACATCAATTGTGGAATTAAAGATTTATAGAATAATTGTTTCCTGAACTAGAACAAAAATTTTAAAACTACGGGGCGCATGGGAAGAGTTACTTTCTAATTCATTTTTTAATTAAGTTTTTGTTTTGAGGAAAATTTATGTCATTTTGTAAAAAAAAATTCAGCTTTTAGCTAATGTGATTACGTGATTGAATCATGAATTTTCGATTTACTGATCTGGTCCGCCTGTTTTCGGTTTACAGATACATCGATTTACTCATCTACCACCGTTTTAGTTTTTTTTTGCTTTCCACGCAAAATCAATATCACAAATTATCAATGATGTATCAAATTACAGTCCTTCCAGTCTTGATTCGAACATAGAAAAAAATTCCAAAAAGTTTTCTCGATGTCAAGAAAAAAGTGTCAGAAATTTTTGAGTTATAGTTCGAGCGAATTAAGTTAACATAATAGGCTCATATAACTAGTTCAAATTTTTTGCGCCAGTTCCCTTTCGTAATTGGAGAACGTAATGTGTGCTCCTTTTAGCGAATGAAGATGAATTTGACTTGAAAAAATAATCAAGTCAAACCGCAAAAGATCAAATTTCCTGATGTCAGTGAGGTTGCACGTATTAGCAATTTCATTAAGCTAAACACTACTGACTTTCGTGATACTTTCGTTCAGTCTATTTACGTACATGATGAGGCAAGAATATCTTAGATAGCATCAGCAATAGCAGCTTATTGATCACTTTCGCGAAAATAATCGTTTTTCTCATTCACGGCAAAACATAAATTTATAGGTGTCGTAGTTCTTTCTGCTAATAAAGAGTAAAAGAGTAAAAATACTAAAAAAACCATTAACTTATTTTTCAGAAAAAACAGTGTATCATTGAAATGCTTACCTGAAACTAATACAGCTGGTACATTAAACTCAATAATTTATCTCATTGAAGTCTCAAAAAGTTCATTGAGATATTTTTAAAATATTTTTTAACTTCAGTAAATACCACAAACCTGTTTGCGAAAAATATATAATTGTTACCTGATCATCTACTCAACATAATTCGACATGATTAGTCTGATAACACTTAAAACCTCTATTCATTTCCAGAATAAAATTAGGAAAAAAAAACGTTTTGAAAATTATACCACTTGCGATACAATAAAGCTCTAAAAATCAAAAGATAACGTGTCTTTAACGAACATTGAAAAACATGAATGAATTTTGTTGAAGTAAACGTAGGCTCACGACTCAGAAAAAAAATATTGCAGTTGTTATAGGAGACAATTACTTTCAAAAGAAAAGAAAGATTTGGGCCGGAAAGACGCAACGGTGAAAGAGCTAGATCACGAAAAAATTACGTTTAAAAAATTGACAAAAAAATTTAAAAACTCGAAAAAAGTTTTGAAAAATTTTAGCCAGAAAGAATCACACCACACTCCTGAAACTCCGGAACTTGTCGCAATGTTTCTCTGTAGACCAAAAAAATCAAGTCAACTTTGCAAAAAAAAACTGGAAAATAATCATTTTTTAAAATATTTTTTTTTTCGGAAATATTGAAACATTACGTTAAAGCATCAACTTGAATCGATTTCAAAAAAATGCTTATACCTAAAACACACCTAACTAATTAAAACTAAAAATATTCTGACGCACATTTAGTACAAAAAAAACAAACCATGCATCCGAGAAAAAAAAACTAAAATTTTTTGAAAAAAAAATTTGTAGAAGAAAAATTCAAAAAAGTTTTATTTCTAACAAAAAAATTTTGGCACCTATATAAACCAAAACACCTTGAACTAAATTTACCCTCATAAAAATGAAGAAAAGAAGAATGAAAAAGTCTACCTCAAAAATTTCAAAATTAATTACCCGGCAAGTGAGCCGACAAAAATTGGGTCGAAAACAATAAGCCGACAAAAAAATAATCAACTTTCATCAAAGAAATAATTTTCAGCTGTAAAGCATCTACGAAATATTTTTCAGCTGTAAAGCAATTATCACTTCATTCGTGAATTACAGCTGTTAGTGAATTACAGCTGTTAGACAAGCATCGGGGGTAGAAATCGAGATGCATTTGGAGATGACCAAATTTTTGTCATCCTGTGTACAAAATTTACGGGAAAAGAAGTCTAGTACCCGATTGCAAAACCCATTCTTATTGCAAGGGTTAAGAGAAACAAAAATAAACAAAATGAAAAGACTGATATCACAATTTTTTCATCTTTGCCAACTTTTTAATTACTAGCAGCGGCGGTTTTAGGGGGGGGGGGGGGGGTGGTGGACGCTTTTCTCTCACTAACCAAAGGTTCCCCCGTTGTCATTATTTTATGATATCCATCCATTTTCGGCCAACCAACCCCATAACTTTTCTGAAGGCGCCCTTAGCGCCAATATATACTAAATTTGAAGGGTAGCGCACCAAAAAAATCACGATTTTTCAATCAAAATTATCCAAAAAGAGGCCCGCAATCACGTTATTTTGATGAAAATTATCCACAATCAATTTGGTCGATTTAAAAAAAAGTCGACAAAATCCACCTCCCCCTCGCGAAAATCCTAGATCCGCCCCTGATTACTAGGATAAAAGGACACAGAATATTATATTGCCATAATAGATTTGAAAAAAAAAAACATGAGATAAACAAAAAAATTCTCAAAAATTGGCACTTTGGAAAACCTTTTTTTAAAACGAGTATTCATATTCTTCAAACAACAAAATCTCGGAAAAAATTTAGATTGGTAATTCATTCGAACCACCCTTATGACTGTTTTTCCTCTATCTTTCATTTCAAACCGCTCATTTTTTGAATAATACACAAGTCTCCAACCTTGAACCTAGAATTGACTTATCATGACAAGACTTCAAAAAGTAAACCGGCAACTAAGCCGACAGAAGAAGAGAAAATGCAAACCAAAGCCACGATCCCCCAAAACACTGACAATTGAGGTATTTCTAAAATAACCAAATTAAGAACGCCGAATGGTAACGCAGGTAATAAAATTTCAACTTTCCGGTAATTGAGCATGTCAGCTTTTTCTCGTTAACTCTTTACAATTTTAAGTTTCCTCGTGAAAACCAGAAGTATTTCGGCTTTTCCAGTTTTCCACCCCCTTGTAAAATTACAAAATAAAACTGCTCAAAAATTGTTTACACGGTTTTTGCATGTAAGAAATGTTGTAAAAATTTGTTCACCTGTTCACACTGACACGTTTTGATGCAGTTTTTAGCTGGAAAAGAGCCAATATTTCCCTTCAACAAAAGGGTAGGGGAATTTGTTTCAAGGTGCAACATTCACATATGCTTAACCGTTGAAGTAGTTATTTATAAGGGTAGCAAATCTTTACTAGGTACCATGGGGGTAGTAAACGAGATCCAAATTTAGATACTCAACAGACTCCACTGTCGCCATGTTCCCTCGTGACAGTCATTATTTCACTTTAATAATTTTCAGTCAGAGGCGAAGCTTCGCAAAGCGAACACTTGCGAGAACAATACAAAACGCAGCTACATAAAGTGCAATAAGAAAAATTAAACCTTCGATTCGAACCTGCGCTGTAGAGATTATGAGCCCCACACACTAACCACTCAACCACGCACGCTTCATGGGTTACAAACACTTGCCACAAACAAAGCAGAGAACAGATTTTATGCAATTTCCAATGCTACAGTGAAATTTCCAAATATGTGAACACTTTTATTTGTGAGTTAGCTTAGAAAAAAGCTAGCGTAAATAAACCTTAGTGGTAAGGAACCTTGTACCCTTAGCCTGTCGCTCAAAATAGTAATATATAGCATGCAAAACGCACACACAATCTGCATCATTAACCTTTTAGGTTAACTACCCAAATCAATAACATCACTCTCACCCAAATGTAGTAGCAAGTAACTTGAATTTGGAAGTATCAAGTTTTTGTGAAGAGTTTTGTCAAGTATTTACTTTAACTTGCTAGTAGGTAAAAAGTTTTCAGATTTACGAACAGCTGTTTTCAGCTTTACGAAGGTCAACAATTAGCGACTGATTCTAAACTGATATTCAGTTTCTGTTCTACGACAACCTGAGATTACTTTTACTTCCGATATCTTGTAACGCACTTAGAATGGTTTAATTAATCTACATGTCAAACAACAGTCAAATTTGATCACTTTAATAGAATACTTTTAAAACTGAGAGAACAGTTACCAAGTAAGAAAATTTTTCTGCTCCAATATTTCCATGAACAAATAAAACTCAGTTCAATTCCAAATATGTTTTCAGTTCAATTCCAAAATTATTTGATAATAGCAGAGAGGACAGCTTGATCTGCTCGCATTTTTCGACTTTACATCGACTCTATTTTTTCGGCGGGCTTCAAATATTTTTCATATTGCAGCCAAGCGCAGTAAGTGGACTCTATCAACATAGAAAGCAGGTCTGAGGGTCCTTCGAATGATTGCGGATCCGTTTCGAGCTGAATTTGATACTTCACAACTGCATGTATAAAATCATCTCGATTTGTTGTGCTGTATACATTATAAATCGGCACCGGAAAAGGCGTAAGTGTCATCATTATGTAACAGGCTAAGAGACGACTAATGCGACCGTTCCCATCTGAAAACGGATGGACAGTCACGAATTCAAACAAAACCATGGTCGCCAAACGGAACAACCATTTGTAATGATCGATCGTGCTGTCACAACGATTTATTTTCTCCATCATTTGATTAGATTGATCGACAATACGTTGTACACGATTAAATGCTTCTTCTTCTGTCGCATATGTTGGATAGTAACGAATCGATCCTTCATATTCCGTTTTTCTTGTCGTAGTGCTAAATCTTCCAGGAGCCGCGTATCTATTGGCATCAATCAAGTCTTTTAAAGCTAACTCGTGAAATCCCTGGATTATTTCAACAGCCAATAGACCTCGGTACTCCGGGTTGTCCCTGAAATCCGGCAAAAAGACATTTTTAATTTCTGAATAAGCTTTGACAAGATTTGAAGTCTCCCTGATATCTTTAGGCTCGCTTTTAAGCTCCTCTTCGCGTAGGCATCTTTCATAAACTTCTTTAGTCTTTCCCGGATCTCCCTGAGTTCCAATTTTTTCCTCGTCGCATATGTTATGAATGAAGCGAACAATCATGCGGTTTTTAAACTTTTCTGATATTTTTCTATCTTTATATTTATCGTGTTTCTCAGCGATTAATTCTATCATTCCCCCAATTGGAGGCATGCCTGAGCCCTCGGTACGCCAAGGAGGGTTTTCACTTGGTAAAAAATTTATCTTCATTTGCCCTACAAAAGTAGTTTTGTCACAACTGTCACTTTTGGGGTATTTTAATGAGTTTCAAGGCAATCAAGAACTTAGTTCGGCAAGATTACTGCAATCCGCATTGAAGCATCAAAATTAACTGAAATAATGTTGAAGAATGAAGAATTATTAAGTAGGGTCATGATCTCATAAGAGACGATGAACAGATAATTAAAAAATTGAACAATATTACCCAGTTGCTCTACAAGTCTCAGAAAACTTTTTGGGTCTTATCCACAAAACGCCCAAAACTCAGTATTTCTATATCTTGAATAAAATTATAAATTATTGTGGTTGAGCCGGATTGGCTGCATTAGCCAATCAAATTCAAACAAAATGGTTTGACGACATTTCAATTATTTCGAAATTTCAGGCAGATAAAATCATTAGCCGAAATTACCGGAAAAATAGTTTTTGTTCCATTGAAGCTTTTTAACTGATTTTTTCCTGTCTGGGCAAAGTTTCACAAGTGACTGAAAATAAATTGATTATTTGAAAAAGTTCCACCTTTCCGTAATTTCGGCTAAACATTTTATCTGCTGGTAATGCTGATTGAAATTCCTGACCATGTTCGTTGAATTTGATTTTCTAAAACTAGCCAATCAAATTCAATCGCATAAATTTTAGTTCAAGATGTAAAAACATTGATTTTGGGCAAATAAGCGCATAAGACCCAACTTTTTTCATAAACTTCTCCCTCCTATTGCTGTAAAGGATTAAATTTTTTTTATATCATCTTGTTTTGACGGTTTTAACATAGGGCAGAAACACAAGAAAAAAGGGAAACACTTAAGACAAGTACAAATTATACAGAGGCGAACTGCACTTCGCAAACACAAGCGAGAAAAAAAGGGCGCTGAAATGCTCAAACTAAAAATGCCAAGAAACGAAAAAAAAACTAACAAAAACTTTTGACCATCTTCAAACAAAAGCCACCGATATACCAGACACATAGATAATGGCTAATGCAGCGAAGTCAATCAGATATAAAGCCAATGCATTAAAAGAAATCACAATAAACAGCTAATGCTGCTTTAATGGAACAAAACGAGCATTTTATTAGCGACGTCGGTTAGAAGAATAAGTGGACACTACGACCCGCTTCAGTAAAAACAACCATCTTTTGGAATGACATATATGGATTGAAACTAGCGCATGACTCGCACCTACACTGCTTCAAATAGATCGTTGAACGTAAAAATAAGTTCCTAAAACATGTACTAAAACAGCAAAAATTTAGTGACCCTAATTTAATGCAACCGTGAATATCAACTGGGCTCATCTATCAGGAAGTTTCTTTTTGATAAAAAACGACATATCTCGAAAAACAAAATAATTTGAGCAGATTAAACTAGAGGCGAGATTTGCTACCCTATATTGTTACCTGGCAGCATCCCACCATAAGTTTAAGAGCTTCAAGTTATACTACTTGTTTTTAAATCTAAGTTGTTTTTGAGAAAGCATTGAGAAAATCATTAGAAACGCCAGATCTCGGAAACAAAAAAGATTTGAGCAGTAAAGATTAGAGCCCCTGACAGTACCCGTGATTTTTACCCTGATAGTAAAAGATAGAGGCCCTGACAGTACCCCATGAATGTACCCTGACAGAACCCCACCACTAGGTTGAGAATTTCAAGATTCGTCAGATTTTTTATACATGTTTTTTAAAATTAGAGAAAGGCCATATCCCGGAAACCAAAAGATTTTGAGCAGTCCAATTTGGAGAGAAGAAAGGCAATCCCTGAGCGTACCACGACAGCACACCAATATAGGGCTGCAAACTTCAAGTTCCATTAATTTTGTTTTATATCTAAGCTTTTTTAAACAAAAAAGAAATAATGAATAACTCCAAACCACAAAAACCAAAAAAACTAAATCAGTCAAACCTGGTCGCCAGATTTGTAACTCTTTAGTATATCTGGACAGTACCGACTATAGGGTTGAGGGATTCAAGTTTGGTTAATTCGTTTTATATCCAAGTTTTTTGGAAAAATTTAAAAATATTAAAAACACATATCTTAAAAACCAAAAGGATTTGAGCAGTCATAATTGGAGGACAGCTTTGCAACTCTTGAGAGTACCCTGACAGCACACCTTATAGAGTTGAGAATTTCAAATTCGCTTACTTTACTGTATACCTAATTTTTTTCAGAAATCATAATAAATAAATTCGAAACAAGTATCAGGTATCCAAATTTGTATAGATCAGTAACCCGAGCATAATTGCACAATTTAAAAAAAAAGAAAATTCAGGTAAGAAAATAGTGAGGAGTCGGACCGTTAACACCAATACCTAACCAGCATTAACGTCGCCTTACCTTTTTGCAAAACGACGGACAGCTACTGTAAAACCTACGTAGCAGCTAGCCGCGGGTCACGGTTGGCGGAGCGGAAGGCAGCCATAGAGGCGACACAGCAGATATTCTTGGTGGCTAACGGGGACCAGCCACCGAGAGCTTCAGCGGATGGAGGAATGAAAGTGACACCTACCTCATTGCAGACTGAGGCATGCTTGGCAATCTTTCGGTTGTCAGAAATTTCAAGTGCGTAACTGGCAGAAGTTCCAGCGTGAGAGAAGGTGGCAGACTGCAGGGAACTTATAACGGTGACGTCCAGAGCGGCGGGACGACCGTGGGACCAGCAAGGTAGGAAAATGTCATCTGGACGAAAAAGCGATTCCGTGAGATGGCCTTTCTCAAGGACTGGAGAAAGGGCGGCTTTGCAGGCAAAGTTGTAAATAGTGTCGCGTAAACGGTCGTGGCGGTGGATGCGGTCACCACTGGAGGAACAGGCGAGGGCGTGGTCGCCGAAGACATCCAAACTCTTGGAGCAATTAGGGCTTGAGGACTATTCGCGTAACATAGGTATGCCCAGTCGGAAACACAACGCGACTCGGAACGCAGCGGCAGACAAGGAGAGACCGGGGGCTTCAAAGGGACAGCCGAAAGCTAGTGGCAACTATTGGCCAGAGCGCAGAACAACAACCTGGCTTTTTCGCTGGACCAACTATTCACTCACGCCAGCTTGAGCCGAGCCATTGATGATGTCGGTGAGCTTGGTTTGAGCTTTAGGGGCGAAAGAACCGGGATAGACTGAATAGTTGGTTCGTGGCCTTGGAGGGCGGAGACACAGTTTTGCACAGAGCCGGGGGCTAGCTGCGGAGATTTGTTTATGATCTGTTCAGCGAGGGGCTTAGTGTCGACATAACTGCCTAGAAACGCGGCATGGCAGAGCTTGGAGGCGATGGGCAGCCCAACGCCTCCATTCGAAACGGGCAGTAAAGACTGCAAACGTTGACTCTCGGAAACAGCAGAGCCGGTTATTGCTTCAAGAGCACTGAATAGCGGTGTCGAAATCTGAGAGGGGTGAGGAGATTGAACTGGGGTCGCAGGTCCGAAGGTTGAAGACGATCTTCCGAAATGCAGCGCAGCTGCGAAGATGGTGAAGCTCCAACTGTGGGGTTTTCGGGCAAGCGAACAGACTCCATGGGTTCCTTGCACTTCTCGACACGCTTGGAAAACATCCGTTGATCAAGCTCTTGGTTTTCGGAAATTGGAGCGCCGAGGTTCTTCAAGCCAAGCCTTTGGACAGTAATTTCCGGCGGGAGAAGGCTGGTATCCAGATCCGGGTTGAGGGACCACAACTGACATTTCTCAACGCTGACCTGAACACCAATACTAGACATCGAAGAAATGAAGCTGAAGTCCTGAGCGAGGACGTTCACTTTAGTCACAAGCGAGCCGTCGTCGAGGTATCAGACGTTGCAGAGGAGCTCAGGGAACTGGGACTTCAGCGACTCAATGATCGGCTGGATGGTAATGGCAAACAGCGGGACGAGGGGGTCGCCTTGTTGAACACCACAGGCGGAAAGCACAAGAGACTTACCAAACTTCAACCAAGACGGCTGAATGTAGCAAAACTTGACCCAAGGAAGCAGCGGGAAAGAATGGCTGACCTACTCTCTTCAGGTCGACTTGGAGAACGGTGAGGTCGGTAAAGACGCCGAGGAATCTGGCCAGACCGTTGGGAGAATGTGACACGGCTTCGCAGCCTCCCGAAATGCCTACCTTAACCTAGAGTTAAAGCATTCGCCCTCAAAAGATTTTATAAGGTCGACTTGAGTAAACATTTCAAACCTTTCAATGTTTTGGTTATTCAACAGATAAACATAGCGACTTCTTAAACATGCGCTAAGTGAAATTTCGATGCATTACAATATACGATTTAGCTTAAACGTGTAAAAAATCTTTCGTTAAACATGCAAAAAATAACATGTTCAAAAAGCTTAAATATGTCAACATAGGGACTTCTTAAATATGTCAACATAGGGACTTCTTAAACATGTCTTTCGCCCTCTACAAACGCAAATTACATAATGTAAAGATAAATAGATTGGTTCTGGAAAAACTGATATTTCAAGCGCAGATGTTTTCGATGTGATCAAGAAAACTTGAGAAATTTACAAATAAGCTTTCATAATCTACAATATTTGCTATTAAGGTGTGGTATTTGGAATTGTACTCGACCTGCTTTTTTCAAAAAATTAAGTACCAAACAGTTATTTAAAGTACAAACTGATGCTAAACGAATGATTATTTCCATAGAAACACTATTTACAAATTTACACTAATCGATGATAGGAAAACGATCAGCACGAGGAATTATTGTCAAGATTTCGCATTAATTCTAGATTCACTTTTTTCTCTGATGTGTTCTACTGTTTCAGACTCTCCAGCCGCGCGAGTTGTTCCCTAATTTTCGCCTCTTCTTTCCACAGCTGTTTTCGTTGTTCTCCTGCTGCCAACACTTGCTCCTGTTGCTTGTACCACTCCTCGACGTCGCTTATTTTCTTCGACAATTCTTTCTTCAAGTCACTCGCTACTTGCTTTTCTTTCAGATATTCAACCTCGTCATCTTTCAGTTTCTCGCGCTCTTTAGCCTCGAAATCGACAACGAAGTCAGGGTACTTATTGAATGCCTGATACTGACCAACCGAAAGAGGCATGAATCCATCTAGAAGTTTGATTGGATTAACATTATCAGGCGTGCAGTCAGCTAGTTGATTTGCCTCTTTGATAACCGATCGTATGTTGGCCGCGTTTCTGTGTTTGAAAAAGTAGTCGAAGTCTTCTGGTTCCGTCATCGCGAGCAAAGGACTCCTGCAAACTGTCAAGTAAGCGACAACAACGTACAAAATGTAACCCGGCTCATTCGAGAAGATGTTGTCAAAGAGGACCTGCCATTCCTGTTTTGTCATCACTTCGGAGAAAAGTGATTCTAACATTGGCCAAGCGTATCTTTGTGACGTAACTTTGTAAGTGATGAAATGATTTAGAAGAACTTTGTCATGATGGGCAAGAAGGTTTTCGACCAGGGCAAGAATATTGATTGGAGGGTTCGGGAAGAACTCAAACCAATGCTGACACCAGTTCAAAAGAACAGTCGCTGAAACTTCAAAGCAGACCAGCGCATTGTTTTGGAATAACTTGACAAGAGGGAAGATCATCACTGGTAGAAACTTAACTTCTCCGAAAATTGCCGACCAGTGGGCGAGACTTGAGCAAGTTCTCTGAAGCACACGCAGAAGTTTTCGGCTTTTCATCGGGTAGTCTTCGTGAAGGTTGAGATAAGCCGAGTGAGTTCCTTTGTCTACGAGACAGCTGAATGCTTCGTGATTCTCGGGCAACTGTAATAAGTTTTTCCAGATAAACAGTCTGTACTTAGCTGGATACTCTCCGTAAGCTCTCAGAATCCTTCTCAACTTTTTCAGCTCGAAAGGTTCTGTCATGACATTATAGGACGGGTATGCTGATGACGATTCCGATGTTACATCGGTTCGAGCTGATCTCGCCGATGATACAGGGGGAGGTATGGTTTTCAAGGTTGAACACGACGATCTGGCGGTTGATACTGGCGCTGAACTATAAGTAGCTCTAGAATCTTCTAGAACCTTCTTGGATCCAGTGGCTCCTTCTGATACAACTTTCAGTAACGGCACTGGCGCTTTGTTCAAATGTGATGTTAAGCTTTTAACACTGAACACATGGAGAGAACCGCTATCCATCACTCCTATAATGTATTTTCCATTTGGACTTGAGGTGAAGTTCAGAATCGGATTCTGTGCGTCACCAACATCGAACAGAAGATTACAATTATGTATATGAATAACACGAAGAATGCCATCTTTGCTAAGAACCGACAGCATTTCATTTGAGCCGTCGCCAAATTTTTCAGGTAGAAAATTGAGTTGCTTCACTGATTTTACTTTATTTGGTAATTGGATAATTCTGAAGAGACGTCGTGAATCCAGCGTATAGACGTGAAGGAACTGGCTTCTACCACCTGCAACCAGGAACCGGCTATCCGATGAAATAGCAACAGTTAGGTATTGTGACCTTTCTTCTACGGGTACCGGTAGTTGAAACTTACATTGCAGCGTATCCGCTTCCCAGCCGAATATAGAATCATCCTTGAAACAAGTTATGATGGTGTTACTCAGTGGAAGAAAGAATACTTTCAGAATACCCACGTTTTCCCGTATATTTAACTTCCTTTTCCTCGAGAACGTATCCAAATCCCAAAGCTGTGCGACATCGTTTGAAGTCGTGAGCGCGTATTTTCCCGAGGAGTGGACTGAAATGTTATTGATAGCCGAAGAGTGTCCTTTCATCCAGCCTAGCAAGTCTCTCGTCTCCATGTTGAAACACTTCATCGAATTGTCGGCACAGCAAACTAGGAACTCATTTTTATGACGTGTGCTAAATGACAGTGCTGTAACTGCAGACCCCAAACGCTGACACAATTTCATTCGATTCTTGTTCAGATCGAAATAATAAATTTGTCCATGTTGGTCGCCCATGATGAAACAATCGCCGAAATTGTCAAAAGCTACATGCAAGGCGCGGATAGTTTTGCCTTCTAATGCCAACGCACCACCTCTGCGGTTTTCTATCTTGATCATTATTCCATCATCTGATGAAGGCATTGGCTTCCGAATCCAAATTTTGCCTTCATCTTGCTTCGCTAAATCCAAATGTTGCATTACACCAGTCTGGAAATGTAAGAAAATTATATGACACTTTTAGGACTCGAATAAACAGTCATTTAAACATAACTGATATAAAAACTAAATATTGAAAATAAATTTCACTCTGTTATCTGAACTTTCATAATTGCAAATTTCTGTTTGATTACAAAATTGGATAAGATATAAAACAGCGCAATGTTAAAAAGCTTTGTTTTTTGTTCTCAAATAAACTGGAAAAGTATATTTTGTCATCTTTGTCATGATTTTATGATACTAAAAGTCTTAAATCTATGCCAGAAACTTCCTATAAATAACCAATGCAATCACCAAGAAAAATTCCCAAAATCCAGAAGCCCTTTTGCCAGTAATTTCTGATCTCCAAATTTAAAACAGCGCTATAAAATTTTCCTAAAACATAATTTACAAATCCTCGAAACTCAAAAATTGCAAATCTATTGCATAATTACAAAGCAGTCATTCTAGATTTTTTGTAAGCACTTGAATACATGTGATCGAAAGTCCTCTGATCTATCTGTTTTACAGTTTTACTTAGTTTCTTTTTGTTAATCCCTACTTTATCCTTTCTGACTTTTTTCGATGGTTTAACAAGCTCACTCGAATGACTTCCTTCGTCAATTTCAACCGGAAAAATATTCTGACAAGAAGTTATATCTGGTACGACTTCCAACTCAAATGATCCCACTAAACTGTTAGAATAAAAGCCTAATCCATCTTCGGCTTGCAACACTGCTTCGCTGTCTCGGCTGTCTGAATTCAAAACTCTCCCTTGCTTAACTTCATCAACTTGACTCAGAGTCACATCATTTCGAGGTTTAACACCATTACAAGTTGAGTTGTTTTGCCTGTTACAAGCTGAACTGTCAAGTGCATTTATTTCACTTAACTCAATATGAGTTGAATCTCCGATTTCCATCATTTGTCCATTGAAGCTATCGCTGGTTCCAACAGTTGTAGTTTTTGGGATCCTAGGGAGTTTTAAGTACCATTTACACAGCTGTTCAAGGGCTTTACAGTTTTCTATCGCCTAAAAAGTAGCACCTGGTTATTCCAAGTATTCATTTTAAGACATCAACTATTTAGATTTTAGTTTAATCAACTTTAGTGGCTGCCTGTAACTGTAATTTGCTTGTTGCATCAATTCTATCAAAAAAATTGCTATGAAAGTTTATTGAAATTCAAAGACAAAACAATAATTTTCTTTAGCTAAGTAAAACTCTTCAATGGTTTAATAAAATCATCCAGAAGCGAGCGAACAGAGAGACTTCCAGAACAAGAGGGACCATAGAAATGACGTACCAGATCCTAGCGAAATTTTAAAAAGCCCATGTCGCTAGGTAACAATTACCTGAAAATCGCTTCCAAAAATCATAATGACAGTGACTCAAAAAAGATATTTGAAAAACCGATTGTTCAAAAAATATATTAACACAAAGGCAAAGCAGAGCTTCACAACAACTACAATAGATCATAAACATCATAAAACATTAGCATACAGAGACTGACGCGAACATCCCGTAAATGTTAAACGCTGAATCAAAAAATACTGAAGTACTGAATTCAAAGGGTATTTGAAATTTGAAAACTTACACCTACATAGACAGGATTTGAAAGAAACAAGCGATTGAACAGATATGAGACTACAAGTCTCATAGAAAATCAAACTAGGCTGCGTTTACGGTACCTTAGCTCTACAAATGTGTTGGTTGACGAAAGTGCAGATTTCAGAAAACAATTGTGATTTTGACAATTTTTTTTTACAAGAAAACGTCTACGCTCCGAAATAAAAGCTCTTCCTAGTCGGGAGAATAATAACCGCAAGCATAATGAATCCCAGCACATGGATGCAAAAAACAATCAAATAAAACAACAAAGCAAATCATTTTCTTTAACTTTTTTTATGAAAAATATTTCTTAATAAACTCTCAAAAAAAATTACAGAAAATCTTGTCACTCAGTTATCTTCAATAAAAGGGCTTCAGAGAGTATATTCATAAAATTAGAAGAAGGCTGAATCTACAAAAAATTTCAAAGTTGCAGCAACTAAGCCGATAAAAAAAAACAGAGGGACGATAAATCAGAAAACTTCTAGTTTGCAAAAAAAAAAACAGGTCACGGCCGGATTTGAACAAGCCACTGCTGTCTCAATCAGGTGTATTAACTTTCCGCCAAGTGCGTTGGATGGTTTATTGACTTTGAATTTATTAAGAAGCAAGATGAAACACGTATAACATCTTCACGTGCGAAATCTTGTGAACAAGTTCTTTACGGCGGAAAACATCTAGTACCCGGTTGTATCGCAAAAGTTAACATCTAGTAGATTTTCAGATGAGTAACAAAATTTAACTGCGAAAATAAGAGTACCTCCGATACCAGTATCAATTCTATAACACCGATCCAATTTTTAAAAAAGGTCGAAAACCATACTGATTAGAATGAAATCAAGCATGAAAAAAAAAGAAATAAAAACATTTTTTTAAAATCTTTGATATGAAAAAAAACCTACCAAATCACTTAGATTTTTCATACTGGAAGAAACTTTTCTTTCAGACTCACTTTGATGTGCCATATCATCTCCAAAAGTTGCAAAGAAAATGACTTGGAACCTGCAATGCAAGCGTAGCATAGCAAGCTAGCTAACAAAGACGGAAACAGCTACCCAAAAAAGTTGAAATAATACTTTTCTTTGCTAGTGGAAATTAAAATTTCAAAAAATAGTCAAGAAACACAAATACCCGTAATAATAAAAAAACTTTTACTATTCATAGAGCGGCTACTATGTCAACAGTAAAGGGGAAGACGCCCGTTGAGTCAAAAACAGTAGAAAAAATTAAGAGAACATCTATTCATAAAAAAATTTGAGTTAAGTTTTAAATCATTGAAATTTTGCACCAAAACTGACCTGAAACTCTAAAAAATAACAAACCATTAGTGACCTTCATACGGCACAACATAAGTTGATCACGCCCATAGAACATAAGCCGAAACCATGTAGGCCGAGTGCAGCATTTAAGAGAGAAAATGGGAAAAAGGTATGTATACAAAGCCTGGGCTAGTAAGTTTTCTGAATACAGGAGCAAACCAACAAGTTTCGCAACCAAGACGAAAAATGCCTGCAGCAAAAGAAAAACTCGTGATGGGACAGCTAAGCCGACAAAACAAGCAGACAAACATGTGCCCGACAACTCAATTTTTCCCGGGAAAATGTTTTATTTCTTATATATACTTTAAGCAAATCAAGGTGCAAAGACAACGGCATTACATCCAAAAGAAATGGAAAGTAGACTACAAGAAACTGTTCAGATCAATAATAAAGCTAGTTCAATATCTTAAAAACTTTTAAGAACAGTTGTTCATAGGGACAAAGTCTATCAACGCAAATTTGCAAAAAAAAATAACTAACGTTAATCAAGTCCAGAAAAATTGGAACCCTGCGGGCGAGCTGAGCTCACTTTGCTGCTAGTGTTTGTATAAGTAATACGGGCAAAACTAAATGCATATACTTTTTTTATTAGCTACCAGTCCATCTCAGTGCAGGACCAACCGTGGGGGAGGGAGATGTCATCCATTTCGCCGCAGCCGGTCCCACCTTGAGGAGGCGGATGACTATGGGACCCCTCCAACCGTCACCGAAGTGGGATTTGAACCCATGACCCTCGTTTTTGAGAGACGTGTGCCTAACCCACTCGGCTGCTCAATGCATATAATTAAACATATACAAATTTTGATGTTCAAAAATTAGATTTTTAAAATCAAATGTACGACTATATCGAAACAAATGGGCTTTTTTTAAAATCATTTTCCGCTTGTCTGATTAATTTGCCACTAACAAAGAAAACTGCAGTGAACTTACATCATCTATACTTGATCCAATAGATATCAACCCGTAATCTGCGACAAGGCAAGCTTTTCTGTTTCCTTCAAAGCACTTCAAAACATCTGACAATTCTAGATTTTTGCAGCACTTCACATCTCCCACTGATGAGAGCTTGTACGCGTGGAAATGAAAAGGCTGAATGTCCTCTCTCAAGGTTGAGAGAACTGAAGCATTTTCAGTGGCAGCAAAAACAACAACATTTACCCAGCTAGGCAGGCCAATTAACACTCCTTCCAGGACTTGTTTCAATAGGGCTGATGTTTCAGGGTACAATATATCGTCAATATTGCAAAAATTAACAAAAAAGTTCCTTTCTTTGCTCACCCTTAAGCATGCAGCTAAAGTTACTAAACAATCAAGTTGCGTCGAATAATTTCCCAGAGCAAGCTCAATTTGGCGCTGACACATCTTCGGCCCATTTTTCGACAAAACTATCACAAACAGCTCCAGAGAACCAATCAGGCATTTCTCCATAAGAGAACTAAGTTCGGTGTCAGTAAGTGATTGCTTACATACTCTTACAAACTCGAGAGTTAACTTTGAGATAGACTGTCGCTGCTTGAATGTCAATTCTAATTCATCTAAACTTAGGTCAGTAAACAGACACAAATGCAGAGTTTCGTCGTCGTTTAAGCCTTTACAGACTTGCTTATAAAGGTCGGCTAGCCTTCCAGGGTTATGCAAAAGTGCTTGGAAATTAGATACACATAAAATATGGTTCCTCAGTTCTGCGTCTAAGCTTCGGCAACAGAACTCGTTTTCGTTTTTATAAAAAGCATCGGCTGAGAACTCAATTTCTTCGTCTTTCACTTTCTCAAGAAGTTTCATAATTACATTCCTGAATAAAATCGTCATTGTAACGTATTGTCTGAAAATAAACTCAAACACTTTGTATTTTTTGACATAATTTCTCACTTCTTTGTTCAGCTTTTTTCTATAATAAAATTCTTGGATTAAATTTTTATTGATACACACAGAGACATGAAAACAAAATAATCGCGCGAGAAAGATGCAGGTGATAAAAACTTAAAGGGATATATTTGAAAAATAATAACAATTAGTCCGAAAGTGAGTGATCCGACTGCACGTGATCAGAATATCTTTCAAAAAATTCGGTAGGGTCGTCGTTATAAAAGCCATACTGCATGTTATCCTGGTGGCTGACAAAAATTCCGCCATCAGCTTTCCAATTTCGATATGCCCTGTTATTATGCGAGAAGCTATTCTCTGATGAAACAGACCCGCCATCGGAGCTACCAACACTATCAGGAGAGTCAGGGTAGTCATTTTTCCAGTGGTCTTCATCATTACTATCACTGTCTTCGAAGTTTTCATTTTCGTCAGAGTCAGATATTCTTTCCTCCAAGTTATTCGGGGCGACATAAATAATATCCAAAGGATCAAAAGTGGTATCCAATTCATCTGTTGTCCAGCAGTGGTAATAAAGGTCGTAAAGATCATCGCCGTCCGAGTTATAGCAGGCAGTACTGCTTGATGGCTCATTGATGTTTAATTTATTTCTAACTAGCTTCAATCCATTACAAGTAAGTAAATCTGAGCTGTCAGTTGAAGCACATTGCTCTTCAAATGCGGGTGGACTCTCATCAACCTCTAAAAGTTGAATATCTTCGCCAATTTTCACTTTTTTCGAAACTGAGACTGATCTGAATGAGCTACGAGAGCTATCTTTCCGCGATAAGTTTTTATTTTCATCGGTTTCTTGTTTTACTAATGGCCGCTTCTTTCGTACAACAGGGACAGCAAGCTTCTTTAAAGTTGATTCTATCTCGCAATCACTATTAACTCTACCGGCATATTTGAAAATTATATGCTGATTGTCATCCAATCCGTCAATTTTTGGCTTCTTTGCCTGCACCACCAAACTGAAGGGCGAATCATTTGGCTGCTTCCGTTTGAACCTAAGGACACTTATTTTCTCGCTCATCTTACTCTAAAAACATACAGCCTTCCAAGATTTTAAAGCAAAGGCAAAAAAGAGGAATTTTCATTCAATTGGGAACACTTTTAATCCCACATATACGGGACTGAATAATCACAAGAGAGGGGGGGGGGGGGGGGTTGGGGGGTAATCACGGATGGTGGGGCATAAAGCATCATGGGAACACAAAGGCGGCACCACTTGCGATACAATACAAGCATTAAAAAACACAAGTCGAAAAAAATGACACATGTGGAAAAAAATAGGTGAACCAAAACTTTCGTATATCTCGATGAAGGACACCTAAGACGTACGTGTTTGATATTTTTTGAATTTGTTACACTGATGCGGGGCGAAATGCGCAACTTCAAAAATTGGACTTCGCCCAAAACCTATGTTGTTTCAAAACCGTAGAAAGTAGTTAGAAGCAAGAAGTGTGAAGTTTTTGAGAATTTGGAATTTTCACAGACATAACTTTTCTCTTACAAAAATAGAGAAGCCGCTTCTGCAGGAAAAATTCGCCCAACCGCTTCTTTTAATTAAAACTTAGAAATTTGTTAGGGTAGTCTTTAAGAAAATAGGGTGGTGGATACGGTAGTTTTTCTCGATTGAACAACTAACCCGAGAATTGGCACGGTAATTTCCGAGCAGGCTAAAAAGCTTCCCAAAAACTGTCAAAGTTTCTAACTTTCATTAGTTTCAAGGCCATAACTTTTTTTCTAAAAGAAACTGGGCGATGCAAATTATAAAGCAACAATCTTTTGTGTCGATTAAACCTATGATATCAGATTTGGCAGGATAGTTATCGAGAAAAGTCCAAAAAACGGTCAACAAATATGAGTTGATATTTCCGAGAATCATAGCTTTTGTTTAAAAACATTGTGTGTAGCCGCTCATCCCCCGAAGAGATTGAGTTAACTTATAATTTCGATTGAATCTGTAAACCCAGCTTTGGCAGGGTTAGTTTCCGAGAAAATTAAAAAACAGTCGAAATTTTTTTTTTAAATTGACAATTCCGAGCCATAATTATCTATGTAGAAAAAAATTTGGGCATGGCCGCTTAATGAGGGTATCTTTTCAATTTTGATGTATTAATTGACACCAAAATCTCCGGTTTTGTAGGTTAGTTTTTGAGAAAACGAACAAAAAAATAAAAAATATCGGTCAAATATTCCTCCTCACGGACTTTTTCGAATGCTGTACACAAAGGGAAAAAGCAAAGAGACCAGGAGATTATTCAGGTGCACAAGACTGTAGGCAGTCTTTCTATGGCTACCCTTTTTGGAAAACCGGTAGAAATGATTTTGAGAAAAAACTACATTTTTGCAAAATGTAATAAAATTTTCCAAAACGTCTAAAAAATTCCAATCCCATACAAGCGGAATATTTGAAATTCAAATTAGCAACTGAATAATGATTTCGTGAAAAACTTAAAACTTTCAAGCCTCCCTGAAACTACCATGTATTAACAATACCCAACTGGTAGTTGAATTGGAATTTTCACGAAATTGAGCATGTCAGCTGTTATACAACTGTGAATCAATGTAAATGATTCAACCGATTTTGTTTAACTATTTGGGAATGCGTTTAAAGTCTGAATTTAAGCAAACATTTTCGCACATTTTCAGGTTTTAAAAAAATCTTAACTATCTGTACAAAATGATCAAAGATCATACAGTCGAAGGCTTGTTAAAATAGTTTTAACCCGAAAAAAATTTAAGATTTGATAACGCTCGCTAATCGCAAGCGTTGAAAGAAACATCACTCGTCCTTCGTCATATAGCCCAGTCAAAAAAACCTCAGATTTCTATAGTACAGGGAAATATGGTGCGTACCCACGGAGCCGCATTCCCGGATAGCCGAAAAAACTAAATACCTCCGGTTTTATTTAAATTAAAACAGAAAACTGTTCACTAAATTGAGGCGCATTTTGATTGGACAAAAAAATTTGCTGCCTGTTATAGCTAACAAAATTCCGAACGTTTTTAAGAGATTTGATTGGCTAATACTTTTACTCTCATTGAATTAATTGGGGAGGGTTCTCATGCTTGAAGGACCGAATGCTTGAAAAGTTTCAACCAATCAAAATCGCTAAGCGTTACTATTGGCTAAATGCCTTTCTCTCAAAATCGAAGTCAATATTAACAGAAAAGGTTTTAAATCAGTGGAAAATAATCAAAAATGTTACAAATTTTGGGTTACAACCGCAATACTGTTCAGATAAACATCAAAATCTATGAGTTCAAGTTCATAAGATTTTTTCAGTCTTAACAACTCATCTGCTTATTATCTAATTGGTCAATATTAACACTAATGGCCTGCATTTGTTTTCTTACTTTGAGATTTTCAAGATTTACTTTGAGATTTTCAATACTCAATTCTGATTGGCTGAAAGTAGGCTAAAATAAATTTCAAGCATTCGGTCCTTCAAGCATGAGGGACGCCACCAATTAATTAACAGCAAAAGTCCGACTACTACAGGGATTTGACCCCTTCAACAACCAAAGCAGAGGAATTTCTCGAGGGGGGATTTTCAAAAAAGGGATTCGACCCCCCCTAAATCCGCTACAGAACCAAAGCAGGGGTGGATTTAGGGGGGGGGGTGGGGGGGGGGGGGGGGGGGTGGCGTTTGCTTTTCAGGATTCGAGGCAATTCGACCCCTTGCCGACATATTTGGCGCCAATATATTTATCAAAATTTTCCAAAAAGTGCCTAAAAACTTTTTTAAAGCATTTGTCCCTTCTCCCCCCCTCGAGAAAATCCTTGATCCGCCCCTGCGTTAACATTATAATCGTTTATAATTTCGGTTGGGGCCCTTAATAGTTTTTTTTGTTTGTCGGGAGGGGGGGGGGCATGGTGGGGTAAATAAGCGTAGGGGTTATGGGTAATTGGGAGCAGGGGAAGGGAGTGGGAAGGAAGGATGAACGGACTAAGCGTGTGTTTGTGGGGGGGGGGGGAGTGGGTAGAGAAAAAGGGTATTCGAAATAAGAAAACATTGTTTTTAAGTAAGTTTGTAGGATCTCTTCAGTATTCCCTTCCTATGGTACCAGTAAGAAATGGGTAAGAGGGGTAGAAGGGAGGGGGTAATTGTTAAATAGATCCAAAATTTCGGCTATCCGGGAACGAATTCATTTTTCGGCTATCCGGGAATGAATTTATTTTTCGGCAATCCGGGAACGAATTTGTTTTTCGGCTATCCGGGAACGAATTTATTTTTCGGCTATCCGGGTATTCGGCTCCGTGACACGCCACCGGAAATATAACAATGAATGATACAATGATAATACAAAAACGATACTGTAACAAAAGAGCAACGAATCATTTTTCACCCAAAAGTGACTACAGCTTTCATTGTGCAGAATAAACAAGCAGCATTCGCAACCGGAGGTGCTAGGGATATGCTCGGTACCTTTGTAGAGGAGCGAAAAAAACTTTCAAAATTTGCTTGACAATCAAAATCTATTTTTTTTAAACACTAAATTACAAAAGGGGCCCTTGCGTTTAGTTACGGTAAGTGCACAAGCTGGATAGGGCCTACCAGCGATATAAAAATGCATATATATCAGCAATGAAGTCATAAATCAGCATCGTCATAATGTGAATTTATCTTAGCCGTCCTTCCTTTACAATAGCGCTTATCGAGTTGTCGATAAATTGAACTTTGCGTAGCGATCTGCACCCCCTTATACAAAGTATAGAGCTCCTCAGGAGCGCGAAGCTTATTTTAGTTCTTATGTAGTTTATAGATTCTGGATATCTTGCTTGTCTTTTTTCACTTAGTTTTTCGGCCAATCGCTGCATCGTCCGAAAATTAGCGGGCAGAAGCTACTCTGCTCTACGTTTAAAATTCTTTGCTGATATTTGGAGTTCTTCAGGGTTTCGTGGTATTTGTATGCATCCTTATGCAGTTTTCGCGATGTTTTGGCATGGGGGTTGAAAATTTTCACATCAAAGAAAGCGCGGCTGAATCGTGAACCCCAGAGTCCGTTTGCCCTAATATCAAGTCGTGCCTCATCTTCAGTTGAGGCACGATCAAAATCTATACTAGAACCGGCTTGCACCCTGAAACTGAGAAGATAATAGCCGTTTTGAAAAAAAAGCCATCAGTAAGAAAAACTTTTTACTGGTCAAACATAATATCTTTCGCTTCAGTGTGCCATTGAAGGCGCTTTTTTCACAAAAAGCAGGAAATCGGAAGGGTTTTTTGCAGATTTAGAGAACTTATCTTTTAACAACTTTTAGCTTCCTGGGATGTCCTGAAATGAAATTAGTAACATTGAATTTCGTTTTCAGACAATGAGAAGCTAGGAGTAGAGGGAAAGGGTCGATTCATCTCCAATGGATAGGGTGATTTTCTCTAGGATACAAAAATAAGAGTGATCTAGTAACTTAATAGTAATAGCGTACAAGCCCTGTTTTTACGAGTGACCTCGTGGTCTGGGGATACTAAGACCTGGCCATGAGCTCACTTTTTTCACATGCATTTAAGTTAATTTGCGCGGCTCGGCTGATATCTTTTAAGCGGTAATCATTTTATCGACCCGATATTACGAAAACCACATTGAATGGGCTATGATAGAGACAGTTGACAGCTCTATTTAGACGCTAGCTAATCGTTTTATGATCTAGCTTTACTTTCCGTCGGTATGTGCTTCGCAAAAACAAAACGGAAATCGTATTATCATCAAGCGTATTTACAATTGTTTTCAGGCCTGAAGGTTTCCTAGCTATGCTTCTGTAATTAAGATGTAAAACTTTCATACTATTTTTGAAGGTTTCAATTCTTTTTGTGATGAGATTAAAATTCATCAGTGGAGCCGGATTGGGCTGGACGTCTTCTGATTTAAAAAGATTAAAAGTATTAGAGAGTGAGGTACTTTATGGAATTCAGATAATAATGGTTATAAAAGTAATAGTAGTGGTTAACATAATGAAAATAGTGGAGAAAGATTTTATCGAACATGATTAATGTTAACGTAATGCGCTGGAGGGGCACAAAATTGGTTTAAAAAGTGCGCTGGAGCGGTACTGAAACAAAACTTTTGAAAAAATTTTGCAACCCATGGAAAACTGAAAGGGGTGCATTCGAAAGTTGCTGGGACTAAAATTGTTATTCAAATAAGAGTGTTGAGAATGCTGAAAAAGTGCTTTATAGCCAATTTGGGACGGCGATGGATGATCATTAGATAATTTGGTTCTTGGAAGGTTCTAGAGTATTCAAAAACAAAATCACGCAGACAGCTACGTAAGAAAGGGACGCCGTGATTATCATTGAAGTGGATTTTGTCTCATTATAAGGACCTTTATTTTTAAGATTTTTCAATAACGAGTTTAAATTTAGCACCTCAAAATCTGCTCTTGATCCAAAGTTTTCGTTAATTGCATTGATAAGTTCATCAATGTCCACTTTAGCTTCATGGTTATTTATTATTGGTGGTTTTTTGCAAATAGCGACCATATCTGGGCTATATTGGGCAGTACTTACTTCAATAAGCTCCAAAAATTTGTTAATGGTTTCATCAGGGCTAGCAATTTTTTGTTCTAGGATGCAGTTGGTCCCATCTTGGAGAGTAACGCATTTAATTTTTTGTTCAAGATACCGATTAAGAACTCTAATTTTCTCTTCAGTGGTGCTACCCCTGTATGAATGTACTATAATGTCATTAGGGAGGGTTTCAGTCTTTATCCGAGAGGTTATACTTGACTCTACGATAAGGTTTTTACATTCCTCTGGTACAGAAGAAACAAGTATTTCTCTCACGGTTTTGAAGTGCATTGGTTTGAAGATTGTTGCATCCGGGTCTGATACAGCTCCTTTGTTTCTGACTTCGACATCTTTCTGGTAGTCTTCTTTCTGGTTGTATAAATTAGAATAAATTTTGTGCAGCTATGATACAGCTTCTTTGTTTCTGACTTCGATAATTTTCCGGTAGTCTTCTTTCTGGTTGTATAAGTTCGAATAAATTTTATAAATGGCTGATTTGTTTAATTCAATAAACTCTTTGAAGCTCAATTTGTGATTCGACACTTTTAGTTTTCGATTCTGCCTTTAAATTGGCTAAGAAGCAGCAACAAATCAAATTTTGGTAGTACTTTGGGATATAATTTGGGCTTTGTTTTCATATTGACCGAGAAAATACAACGAGGCAAAAATCTGTAGATTCAAGAGTTGTTTTTTCATTTCAATTGCAGCAACGTAATTCAGGATCCTTTATTTATTCCGATTTTCTATTACAATTTAACTGTTACGATTTGATTTTTAAAAAAGAAGGATATTTCAAACTTTTTTATTATCAAAGTTTCGATTTAAACATAAAATGGGAGTTTTCGAGAAAAAAAAACGAAAAATGAGAAATAATTTCTGTGTTTGTCATTACGAGGCCAAACTGTGCATTATGTGCATTGTAAGCGGATTCCTCAACAAGGACGCTCCCTTTGTTTTTCTTTCGTTCTTTCCTTCTCTTTGATCGTTCCGACAAAATTTTAACATGTTTAAAGAATTGGAATCCAGGAACATACAGACACAAAATTGTGCTCCTATCCAGTGCACAGTTTTGCCTTGTAATTGTAGTCCTTAAAAATGAAAACTGATGTTTTTTTAGTAATGACAAATCTTCATCAATTGGACTGTATTTTTTTCAATTCTGAAAAGTTTCATACATAAAAATCAAAAGAGATAAGCGATTGTTTTGTAGACGTTTTTTTTGTCCGCACTGCAACTGTTTTGTAGACGTTTCTTCTATCGCTCTGGGTAGACGTTGTTTTAACCGCTCTGCGTAGACTTGTTTTTGTCCGCTCTGTGTAGACGTTTCTTTGTCCGCTCTTTGTAGACGTTTTTTGGTTCGCTCTGAGTAGACGTTTATTTGTCCGCTCTCAGAAGACGTTTTTTGCTCCTCTCTGTAGACTTTTTTTTGGCTGCTCTATGAAAATGCGTTATAAAAATTTACCTATCCTGCCTTCATAGGGTGTGTTCATCAAATTAAAAACTCCTTCAATAGACATCCGATACTATTGGTAAAAACCTGGCCGATCCTTCCTGATTGACAGATCCTTCCTCTCCAGCGCACCACCTCAAAAATAAAGGATATTAAAACAATGAACTCTTACTTTTTGAAAGTGTTTTAAAAAATATAAGTTTTACATAAGAAAAGCAGAGGCAAAACCAGGAAACATGAAAATACAGTACTTGAAGTAATTTATGAAAAAAGTAAACCTCAAACCTTTTCGCAACTCCGAGTTTAGCCTAACGGTTGTGATAGACTTTTTAGTTTCACATCATTATGCGAGCTGGACGAAGTCATCCAAGACGGAAGCTGACGACGAGAAGTGTGCGAAGTGCATCAAAGGTGGAGGTTCCCCGTGGATTCACTGCGACATCTGTGAAATCTGGTATCACTACAACTGCTCAGGACTTCCCATTGCCCGGGTTGCTATGGCGCAGTTGCCTTTGTTCAGTTGTAATTTGTTTTTCTAAAGAAAACTTTATCTGTTTCTCATGTGAGTGTAAAAGACGACATTCGCAAGGAAGCTCTTTCTGAGTTACCTATTACACTTGGTAAATTAGTCAAAGATACCAGTGCAACTACTGTTCCAGCAATATCAAATCAATTGAAACGGTCTTCAGTTAATACCGATCGTCAACTTGAGATCCGTGTACAGGGAATTCCTGAATCCTCTGACACCTCTCAGTTGAAGAGAATGGAGTTCGATGAAAGGCATGTTTCTGATGTTCCTAAAATGTTGATGAACAGGATCATTGTAGTATTCTGTCCATCTGTGCCATTCCCCCGAGTGGCACAGTCGAACCTTCGGACGAACGCCGAGAACAGCCTTAAAGGCGTTGTCATTGAAGTTACAGTGAGAAAGAGGCTCAGAATGTTCCAGAATTTTAAATTTTTGAAATTTGATTCGGACTGGAACATTTATGAGAAATGAAAAAAGTGGCCATTTTGACCTGAAACACACGAAAAACAGAACGGCCGATAGCAAGACAGAAATTAGTCTGAAAAAGAGAGGGAAAAATAGAAGCGCACACACCACTGCAGGTAGTTTAAAATATGGATGTAAAACATATTTGTCAGATTAAACAAAACTTCTGCGCTCTCAACTGGATGTAATATATAGTATGGATGAACTTCCCATAATCCTTTTTAGTTGTTTATTTTTATAACGTGAAATTCGCTTTCCGCCGACTCCCAAATGGTGTGCTATCGGCAGTTGTATCCTGATGTATGAAGTGTACTTGTCAATTGTCAAAGTAATCAAATGAGTGTGTTTCAAAGTAAATCTACTCCTGCTTAACGAAGATTTTTTTAAAAAAAGTTTGCCTTTTTTGCATATTCATTTATTATTTTTAAAAAATTTAATTAAGTAGTAGAACAACTGGAAAAGTTTGAAAATGTTTCAGAAATAGTGAATCCTAAAAACACGGCGACTATTTGATAATTAAGCGTTAATTTAAATTATCAGAAACTTCAGGTGAAATTGGTTTCTTGATTTTTATCAGTTTTGGGAGACAATCAGGGGAATCAAGATTGGTCTAAAACGGTACATAAGTCTAAAAAAAATTCGCTAAAGTCGGTAACTACCCCTCCTTCTTGCAGCATAGGGGATACTCGTTAGATGACACCGCATTTATTTGGATGAACTTCCCATAATCATTTTTAGTTGTTTATTTGTATAACGTAAAATCTGCTTTCTGCCCGCAGCCAAAAGGTGATGTATCGGCGTTTGTATCCTGGTGAATGATTTGTACTTGTCAATTGTCAGATTACACAAATGAGTGTGTTTGAAAGTAAATCAATATACTCCTGCTAAACGAAGATTTTTTTAAAAAAGCTTGATTTTTCATCCTATTTGCTGAAAACTTCCATGCCTTCTGAACTATGATTTTAAAAAATATATATATTTTATTTATCATTTCATTTACTCTGTGCAAAACCGTTTTCTTTTTTAAATTTTTGATGCGAAAGTTTTCGTATTTATGTAACAATTGAAATTAACGGTTAAACAATGAATAACGATAAAAAATCGATTGCTATAGCATGAGGTTTGCTGGTATTCTTGCAAATAGTATCATTGTACATTTTTCTTATACTTTTTGTTTTAATGAAGAAAATCTGTGACATTTAATTACGAATTTAATCATTTATGCTAAAATTCACGAGACTTGTTTGTAACAAGTATAAGCAAGTATCAGCGTAGTACTAATTTAATCAGTAAGAAAGAGGTTAACTACGAAAACATAACTTTGTTACGATCAATAAACAGTCAAATGAGGTTCGCTGTGGTGAAAAGAAATTCGACTTCGATTTTTAAATTAGTTGTCGTTTGCTTATTCATTCTGATCTTTGTTAAAATTATTTCTGAATCTAATTTACTTGTTTCAAAATATCAGAGCGAAGGGTAGGAAAACGTTAACTGTTCCTTTAAAAATTTACTTTTGTCTTTTTTTTGGATTTGCGCTGAAAACTAATTTTTTTAAAAGCAGAACAACTGGAAAAGTTTGAAAAGGTTTTTTGAAAAATTGAATCCTAAAAGCATACGGTGATTAGCTGATAATTAAAAATTATTATAAATTTTCAGAAACTTCAGGTGAACTTGGTTTCTTGACTTTTTTCAGTTTCGGGAGAAAATCTTGGGAATCATGATTGATCTAAAACGGTACATAAGTCTAAGAAAATTCGCTAAAAATCGGTAACTACACCTACCCCCTTTGCAACACAGGGGAAACTCGTTAGATGGCACAGCATTTATATATGCTCAGCATTGAATTCTTTACTAGATACAACGGTAGCGATAGTTAACAAGATCACTAAAAACTCAAAAATTTCTCAGAACCAAGTTTATTCTAAATTATACAGATAAAATTGCATCGCTGTTTTTGCTGTCTCAAATAAAATCTAATTTAATTGGAACAAGTTAACATCCTCCACCCCCCCCCCCCTCTCCAAGCCGCACCGCATATGAAGACAGAGGTCAACTTGGTTCTTAGTTCGAATTAGCCAATCAGAATAGAGCGCTTAGAAAATTTAATATAAGTTGAACACTGGTGTGGAAGATCTTAACTTGATCTTTTTTAGGGGGGGGGGATACTTAACTTCATCCATCCTTAATGCCATGTAAGAAGCTGAGTTGACTATTGTACCAAGCAAATAATTGCTACCCCTATAAAAAAAATCAACGGAATTTTGTACCTTTTAACGAATTTCCCCCCTTTTGTGATGGGGGGGGGGGGGGCTTAGTTAACAAGATCTGACCTCAATCATTGAACCGATATAACTAAATGTCTATTAATTATTTTTCTTACTTTATCCGTTAATTGGTTGAAAAGTTAACTATTTCCTAGCCTCGCGTTTTTTTTTAGTTCGCGCACTTCTAATGACTTTTCTCAGTCATCTGTACCGTTTTGCCAAAACAGAAATAAGTTCATAACATTTCACGATATACACCCCGAAGGCCGAGGACTTTTGCACAAATACGATGATTTCACTGACGCAGCACTTGTGGCTATTCAAACAAACCGCACTTTGATAGGTAAGCATATGGCTTTTGGATCCTTCTTGTATGACTAATACTTTTTCGAATCTTTTCTAAAGTGATACATTTGATTGTTTCAAGTGTAACTAGTCAGACAATTCAGACTACTCAGACTGTTTATAAATTTAGACTTTTGAAATTAATTATGAGTGAATTGTCACTTTGATGTAAACAGAACTCTTAATGGAAAAAGATAGTTGTGGAGGTTAGTTTCAAAAGATAGTTTCAAAGTTTGGATGTTAACCTGGGAAAACATCCAGGAAATTACCCTTACTTTTAAAAAAAAAGCATTTAAAAATTTTTGGGCTTCAAGGAAAGTTTTAGGGACTAACACAGGGGCGGATTCAGGGGGTGGGCGGACGCCTCCCCTCCCTCAGGTATTCGACCCCCTGCCGACCCAAAGGGTACCCCCATTGAACTTTTTAAGAAATCCATTTTTGGACGACCGACCCTAAAATTTTTCTAAAGGCGCCTTTGGCGTCAATATATTCTAACTTTGAGGGGGAAACGCGCCAAACAAAACGCAATTTTTTGAAATTTTCCGAAAAGTGCCCAAAAACGGCTTTTTTAACCTGTTTTTTAAAAAATTTGCCTGCGGAGCAGAAAATTTGGCCAAGACTGCGTCTTTTTACTGCTTTGAGAGAGCTCGGAAAATTTATTTTGCCGACCTTAAAAGAAGTCGTCAAAGTTTTTAATTTTTTTTGAAAATCCGCCCCCGCCCCCCTCGAGAAAATCCTAGATCCGCCCCTGGACTAACATTATTTCTTTATGGGCCTATCTTTTTTAATAGACCAAATTATTATACCATAAACTTTCAATAGATTACTTACCAAAGCTGCGAGCGGCACATGCCAAAAAAGGACTGGGCCAAGAGGAAATTGAGATTGAGAAGAACGATCTGATTCCGTGGAAAGTTGGAAATATTTTTGACATAACAAGTCTGCAGTATACTATAAAACGGAGTGGATACAAAAAAGTAAGCTGGAAATAATCTTTACAATCATAAAATTTCAGAAAAATTAGAAAAGTTCAAACAAGTTTGAACAAGAGCAAAATATTTGCAATGGTCGATTACCTAAATTGATTTTGAGCAGGGGCTGATCCAGGATTTTCTCGAAGGGAGGGGGGGGGGGGGGGTGGATTTTCAAAAAAAAGTTAAAAATTTTGTCGACCTTTTTTGAAGTCGACCAAATTGATATTCTGAGCTCTCTCAAATCATATAGTGACCCCATTTTGACCAAGTGTTTTGCGCCTCAGGCAAGTTTTCGTAAATGAAACAGGCCAAATGCGTTTTCTGGCATTTTTGGAAAAATGTTGACCAAAAAAATGTGTTTTTTTTTGGCACGCGCTTCCCTTCAAAATAAATATGAATTGGCGCTGTCATAAAATTGGATGTCAAAAAATAGTACCAAAGGGGGATCCATTGGGCCGGCAGTGGGTCGAATCCCTCGGGGGGGGGGGGGGGGAGTCCGCTCCGCTCTTTCCCTAAATCCGCCCCTGATTTTAGGTATTACATGACTGCTCTTATCATGAAGCTCTGAATGTCCCGATAGCTTTTGCAGCTCTAAATGAATGTAAATTGTTTAATTTTGTTCGAAAATCTGTAAAGTCCATATTAATCACTATCCATTTGTAGTTGTAAGAAACCAAATTGCATGGCTTAATTCAAATTGAAACTATTTTGGGACAGGGTTTGAAATAAACGTCCTAAATATCTTTCTGCCGATAAAAAATGTTATTCAAGATCAAAATTGGCCAATTGAAATGTAGAAAGTGGTGCAAAAAGCAATCGATTTTATACAGATAATGTAGCAGACACCTTAAAAAATCCCTTTTATCTTACTGCAAAAAAATAGCTTAAAAATCAATTGCAATCGATTCTATATTAAATCCTTTTTGGAATTTTTTTTGCTTTCATTTGCCTACGGTTTCATTAACAACAAAATTGATTTATTTCATTTTTTAACTAATTTTTTGTATACTCAATTTATACAGAATATATATATATATTTGTTCAGATTTTTTAGACTGTGAAAAAATCAATAAATAGTGGAAATAAAAATTCAACATATAGCTTAGAAAGAAAATCCGTTTTGATGTTTGGTATAAACAAGCTATGAGAATAACTAATATCTATATTTTATATTTTATCGCATAAAAAAATTTTATACTATTTTGTATTTTCATAACGTGATATTTGCCTAACAAAATGAGCCTAGAACGTTATTAATAAAAAATGACAATAAAAAATCTTGCATAGTTTCATTTCTCATTACCAGGGAAACCCAAGTTTTGCAAAGTCTGAAAGGGAATCCCTTAAATGCTTAACAAATACTGGAAATTTTTAAAAATCATAGCGAATCATATTAACCAAAAAAATTGAAGAAAATTACGTTGAAAAGGTCGAACCGGTATTAGATCATCATTTTTTCTATGACACACGAAAACAACCTAAAAAACTCTACAACCCTACTTTCATGCTGATTTTAAAGGCTTTTGTATTGACCACAGCAAGCTACAAACAAGTATGCCGAGTTTGCGTGGATCAAGGCACAGCAGACGAAACAAGCAGAGGTCGCACAATTTCACCTTCAACATCTTAAGCCACCCTTTCATTCAAGAAACTTTCAACAAATCCCCGTTCGAAAAGCGTTGAACAAAGCAGAACCGGAAGAACTGTCGCAAACAGTGAAATTAAAATCAGACTACACAAAAATTCAAATTAGACAAATATGGAGAATAAGACGGCTCTAAATTGTACGAATCAGCTGATAGAGTTTCAGATTCTACTACGACGTATCAGACGAAAGCAAAAAAAATATAGTAATTTCACATCAGCTGAAGAAAATCTTTTGAAAACTAACTTACCAGTAGATGTCAAGCACTGTTTGGCAGTGTATTGAACTTTAGAGCTTACGAAATAAAAGGGAAAACGTTCACATAAGAGCCTGCATATACAAAAATTTGAACGGTTCGTAACAAAACATTGCGTCGCGGAGAAACCGTTTTTGGCATAGACGGATTATGGTCATTTGACTAGGCGTATGTTGATGAACGTACAGATTAAATCAATGATTCAAGGTATATTATGGATGTTGTGGATGGCCTGACCCTTATTTTTGCGTACAACCCTTAAAATCATAGTATGCCAACTCAACTGCAAAAAGCATTCAAACAGATGATAAATCAAAACAACCGGAAACATTTTGGTAGATGGGCGCTGCTAAAATTCAAACAAGAAAAAATTTGAAACTTATACAACAGAGGGTGAAAAGCTAGGCTTTCGCTGACAGGAACATTCGATTTCTAACGAGTTTGCTTTTTTAGTAATTGCAAGACATGTGGATCTAATCTTACATTGATGAGTTTCAAAGTTTTTCCAACGCAAAAAACTCAAGAATAAACCATGTTATCACTAATTCAACCCACAAAAAAGTGGCCCAATAACAACTTTCCTTGTCTAGCTTCAATAAGAGAGGAACAATCGTTGAAATTACGCTGCTGACCAAAGCCTTACCTTGGTGATTTCATATTGTTAGAATAACAAAACTTGACATTCATTATCGAAAAAGAATCTAATCAATCGTTCACAGACAAAAAATTTGAATTATTTGGCATACCAGCAAGGAACTTGCCAACTTATAATTTAATTGACGCCAATAAGTAATCTTAAGTCTGTATGTTTTTTTGAGATCAAAATGATCAGGTTTTGGAAAAAAATGGATTAAAATAAAAATTGGCCGTTAATTTTAGTGGCAGCAAACGTTCCTTTACTATTAAATTGGTGTCATCAGCCTCTCTCAAATGTTTTTTTTATTGAAAACTTTACTTATATAATAGTCGAATATATTTTTCTACAAGGCAAATGAAGAATTGAAACAACAAATCTAGTGTTCACCATTCATTTAACAAAAACTTTCATGTAAAGCAAGTCTAATAGTGTCAAAAGAAAAAAATCTGGACCATATTCTGAGAAACGGGTGAAATCACAAAATTAGAATGTGATGAAACCGAGAAAATATTCACCGAAATCAATCGGAAGGTTGCTTTTGAGGTTTTCAGTTATAGCGTCGACCCCATTATCGAATCTCATTCATTATGTTTGCTTTTTTGGGAAGGCAATACTTTTCAGATTTTTCCCATTTTGGTAGGTTTCAAAGGTATAAGAGATAGAAAGGACTACTATTTTGGTTATGAACAATCCAGTTAGTTCCTATAACTCTCACATCACAAAATCGAATGTCAACTACCCTGTTGCTGAAATCAAAATAAAAATTATCTGCTCGGACATTTTTCTTTATCATACGTTGAGTCACACTTGCTAAAAAGCACACTTGCTAAAAATTAGTGGTGAAAGAAAAACGGTTATATTTGCGGTTATTAACCAAAAAGTTAAAAAATTTGGATTTTAAGTTGTCGAAGAGATTAAAATCTGTTGGTACTTCTACGAACAGAAACCATTGCACTCATACCATTTTGGGAAGAAGGAGGAAAAATTGTTTACAATTAGTTTCAAAGTTTTTCTGATTAAGAATTCAGAAGTTCTATCATAATCAAGCAACCACGCCAAACGTCTCAAGCCATTTCAAACAGTGGTTTAGTGGATTTCGGCGTTTAGGCTATGGGAATTGAACAAGTTTGGAAATTTAGAGTAGCAATAGCAAAGTGTAATGAAAACTTGTCTGGCAGCACCTGAATTAAAAGATTGGAAACGCCCTTGCTCAAAAAAATGGTCAGTTTCACTCACCGGATGGTCCAATGTTCTAATTTGAAGTTTGGAAACGCCTTCGCTCCATTATTTGGTCCAATTTACTCAGCTGTTCTTCCAAGGCACAAATTGAAGTTTTAGGAGATAGCAACAAATTTATCGATTTCCAGAGAACTCGCTTGAAGATCTTAATTCATTGATCAAAACCGTCGTGATTTCCTGCGAATTCATGCTACAGAGGCAGCTTATCGAGACGCACCTTAGTTGGTCAAAAACTCCCTTTTAACTATGTTTTCCGAATGCTTAAAATCTTTAAATTTGGAAAAACTTCTAGATTTGATGCTAATTTTGCTTATAAAATTTTCATTGAGACCGAATTATGATACGGCAATGATTCAAAACGATTAGTGTTTGCTTTTCAAGCTAATAATTCGATGTTGATCCGTCAGGTAATTATGGTATTGATGGGCGGGCTGGACGTCTTTGTCACGGAATGTAAGCGGCTCATGGCTGCATTTAGGGATGTCTGTTTATTTGGTAAAGTTGCATGTGATTTTTTAGCAAGCGACAAGCATCTAACCAGTGGTGTTACAATAATACTTTTTCTGAGATGATCTCCTAATGACTTGGTTACTATGTCAGAGCATTAAGATAAAGAACACTTAGTTCACATAGGCTAACCCATATGTGCGTAAAATGGATAACATGGCAATGTTGCTTTATATTAAAGTTCACCGAGTATCTTTTCGAACACAATTGCTGTGAAAAGCTAGTTTCTTGATGATAATTTTGCTTAAAAAAAGCCAGTTCCTTGAATGATTGTGGCAATGTGCACAAAAACAGTATCTTTTTTTCCAAATTGAACAAGTCCAGTCCACTCATTGCAGGTATTCTTTTATCAACGACTGATAGCAAAAAAGGGATAAAAACGCTAGGACACTAGATTTTCGCTTTTTTAAATAGTCAAGGAATCAATTATTCTAATCAACACAGTCATTTTAATCTAGCATATGATCTCAAACTAATTCAGAAATTCTATCATAATCAAGCAACCACGCCAAATGTCTCAAGCCATTTCAAACTGTGGTTTAGTGGATTTCGGCGTTTAGGCTATGGGAATTGAACAGGTTTGGAAATTTAGAGTAGCTATAGCAAAGTGTAATGGGAACTTATCTGGCAGCACCTGAATTAAAAGGTTGGAAACGCCCTTGCTCAAAAAAATGGTCAGTTTCTTTCACCGGTTGGTCCAATGTT